GTAAATTGCTTTTGGCATAATGGTATTTTCACAATTTTAATTCTACAGTCCATGACCGTGGGCTGTGTTTTCACTTTCAGTGTCTTTCTCAATCTCTTTCTTCAGAAATTAAAGCTTTCACTGTAGAGGTCTTTCATGTCCTTGGTTATTCTCGAGTACCTTGTTTCCTTTAAAGCTGTTGTGAATGGGAGTGTGCATGTGACCTCTTTCTCAGAGTTTGTTGTTCATCTGTAGAAAAGCTATTGATTTGTACACGTTTATTCTCTATCCTATCACTTTGCTGAAATTGGTAATCATTTCTAGAGTTCTCTGGTAGACTTTGTGGGATCTCTTAAATATGATATTCCATCTGCAGATAAAAATAATTTAACTTTTTTTCTTATGTGTATCCCTTTAATTTTTTCCTCTTGCTTTATTGCTCCAGCTAATGCTTTGTGAACTATAGTGAAAAAGAGTGGGGATGGTGGGCAGTCATAACTCATTCCCAGTTTTAATGGCTTTGCTTCAAGTTTTTCTCATTTAAAGTGAGGTTAATGCACATTGTCATATTAACCTTCATTCTGTTGAGTCCTACTCTTTGCAGGATTTTTATCACAAAGGTGATTTTGCTAAAGAACTTTTCTGCGTCGATTGAAATGATTCATGTGATTTTTGTCCTTAAGTTCACTTATGCTATTTATTATACTTACTGACTTGTGTATGTTGAACCATCCCTGCATCTCGGAGATAAAGCCAGTTTTATTGTGTGGGTAATCTTTTTGGTATATGCTTGTATGTGATGCGTTAGCAGAGTCTTCAGTGACAATCATGGGGGACAGAGGTGTGGTGCTAGTGACTGCTGCCCTTCACTGCTTGCTTCCCAGAGCAGCTGTCTGGCTGTGTCGGTCTCTTGTTTCAACTGTTTTTAACAAAGCCTCCTGCATTTCCCCCTCCTTAGTTCTGACTATGCTTGAGCTATGGTGAGGGCTGCAGCTAATGCTTTCTTCTTCTGACTTCTGCATGTTTAAGAATGGAGGTGGTAATGGGAATTAGAGCCCAGACTGTATTGTGGGTAAGTTTGCCGTTAAATCCTCCAATACTTTCTTTGAAGAAAATTTCTGCTGAGAATTCTCATCTTTAGTATTCCATTCTTATTTAGCTCTTGAAACCCATCTTTGTCTTCAGAATACAAAGACCCAGAATTTGGGTCCCTTCTGTGAGATTTCCTGGGGTTTGAATGCTTATTATCATCTTGTGTCTCTTGCAAACCCCATCTTTCTAAGAGGAAGTTCTGTGCCCTGAGCATCCAAACCCAACCTGTGAACTGCTTCCTTTCTCAGTTTGCCTTCCACCTCTTGAACGTGTCTGGTTTGTTTTATTTGTTTCTATCTGTGTTTTCTTCTCTGAGCTGCCTGGCGAGTTACTGGATCAGTTCATACTATCTGTACAGGTGGTTGATTCCACGTGATTCATGTTCCCAGAATCAGGATTTCACAGAGATTTTACTGCCTGGGGGACCAGCCTCCAGCAGCGCAGGGCCCAAAGGGAATCCACTGACTCAGCAGGTACTATGACTTTTATCTGAGGGGTTAGGGAAAGACACTCACGCTCTTGATGGTTTCCTTCAGACTTTCCTTTTATTCTTCTTTTGCATTTTCTATTCTTTATTTTCCTGGTGATTTCCTTCTCTCATTTTTTGATACTTTTCTTCTAACACTTTCATTCTTGAGGTTTTTTTTTCATTTTAACTTTATCTTTATTCTTTTTCTTTTTTTATACACCCCAGAAAAATCTTTCAGGCAATATAACAATTACTATGTGGTTATATTCTGTTTTACAAGTGAATAATTGCAATAAATACAAGTAAAAAGCAGCGTGTCTTCCATGTCCCTTACATATTAAGCATTTTACATATTACAGGTGAAAAACAAATTATCTCAAGAACCTACATACACTCTTACTCAATTAGCTTGTTGTGGACTGACAGTGTAAGCAAGGTATTCTTTACTGTCAGGTTGCTTTGTGAGGTTACAAAGAAGGGCCAATCACTCTCAAAAGGTAAGCATATAAGAAATCTTAAAGCAATCACAAATCTAAACTTTTGTATATGAAAAGGAATCAGCCAGCTCTACTTTAAATCATTAGGGTACATACCATTCATCAACAGTTTCTTATATCAGGAGATTGAGGGCAGAAATAGGTACAAGGAGTTAATCAGCCCCTTTGGTCATCAACCAGTCCTAGCAGGAAAGGCACGTCAGCTACTGGTAACTGGGCTGCTCTGCTCTTCTTCCCTGACCTTAGAGAGTTCCTCACTCAACCTTGTGCCTTTCTAAAACTTTGCATTGTCTTGTTGGGCTTTTCACCTCAAAGCTATTTGACAAAACATCTTAGTTAACTTGAAGTTACTTTCAAAGCTTTATTTCAGCTGTGTTTAGCTCCAAAACCTGTGAACACACCTCCCAACATTGAGATTAGAAGAATTTCAACTAACTGGGCTACGGGACTCAGTTGTTTTCCCTAATCATTAACCTGAGCCACAGTCTTTACAGCTCCTCAAAGAAACTCATGTGTCTAGCTGTGTAACACTTCCTTGTTTTATTTTTTATCATCAAAACTCTATGTAAACTAACATTATCAGTTAGACAGTACAGCTTAGGAAGAAATCATCTTCATAATAATTCACAGGTAAAAATGCCCAGCAGAACAGGCATTTTCAGAATCCATGAGATAAACACACACATTACAGGGAGTGGGGCTCTCCCCACACCCATTCACACCATCCCAGATACCAGAGAAAATGGCAGCGGCAAACATGTAAAGGCACAGCAGAAGCAAAAGCTACTCTGGTCTTGGGGCCTTACCCAGCCGAGATTCACCCATCGGGGATTTTCCTCCTGGTGGGGTGACGCCTCACTGCTGCTCCTCTGACGTGGCCACTGGCAAGTGACCCTGTCTCTAGCTGGTTATTGTTGCGTCTGGGACTGCGCAGCTGTTGCTGTCAGCATTGGCTCACTCGTCCCCTGCTCTCATAGACTGGTTCCTCAGTGAGCGCTCCTCCTGCTGTGGACTTGCAGAACACTGTGGAGTGTGACATCTTCCTGGTGACATCTAATGAGAATCAGCTTATTGGGACTCATCAGCCAGGACCTCATGCTTTTTCTTTTCTATTTAATAATTTTTCATACAATATGTTTTGATCATATTCTCTCTCCTCCCCAGCTCTTCCCATATCTTCCTCACCTCCCTACTCTCCCAACAGCATGTTTGCTCTCTCAAAACCAGTGAGACAAAAAATAACACAACAAAGCATGGAGCCGGTTTTGTGTTGGCCAATTATTCCTGAGCATGGCCCTGGAGTGTGGCTGATACACCCGTTACCTCCATTAGAGAAAACTTACTTTCTCTTTTCCAGCAGGTGTAAATTGCAAATAGCTTCTTCATTAGGGGTGGGACTGTATGTCCGCGTCCCCTTCTCAGCGCTAGGACTTTGTCTGGTTTAAGCCTGTGTAGGTCTTGTGTGTGTGTTCTTATGCAACATGCAAAGGCACAGTTTCTGATTGGCTAGCAGGACCTGCTGCATTTGTTTCTTTCTGAGTAGCAGCTTTCTTTACCTGTGGTCTTTTAGTTTTTACATGTTATTTTAAGAACTGGGGACCAGGCAGAGATGGTACACATCTTCTAGCACTTGAGAAGCAGAGGCAGGTGGATCTCTGTGAGTTTGAAGCTAGCCTGGTCTACAATGTGAGTTCCAGAACAGCCAGGGCTGCATAGTGAAACCCTGTCTCGGAGCAAAAAAAAAAAAAAAAAAAAAAAAAAAAAAAAAAAAAAAAACCCAAACAAACAAACCCTAAACTGTGGTTTGGGCACTGCTGGCCCTCTGTTTCTGTTCCTGCTTTGATGACAGAACAGTACTAAGACATGCCCTGGATGCTCAGTTCATTCCATAGTTATAGTTTTTACAGTATTTGTCAGCTTGGAAGGTATAAGGTGTAGGAAAAGAATGATTGAACCCCTAACTCAGGTACAGGATGCTGGCATCAGCAGATAACAGGCATAAATGGAGGTTTCTCTCCCACCTGCTAGTTTCTGAATAACCACACAGAGGCTTACTATTACTTGTAAATGTCTGGCCAATGGCTCAGGCTTATTACTAGCTAGCTCTTATATTTAGATTAACCTATATTTCTTCTCTATGCTTTTCCATGTGGTTCATGGCATATTACCTCATTTTCTACATGTCTTGCTTCCTTGGCGACTGGCTGGCTGCATCTCCCAGACTCTACCCTTCTCTTGGACTACCTGCCTCTCTCTATCCTGTCTTGCCATAGGCCAAAGCAGCTTATTTATCAACCAGTGAGCGCAGCACATATTAAGGCATACAGAAAGACATCCCACAGCAAATAGGTGTACTCTGTGGAAGCAGGCTACTGAGCAGACAAATGAGGTGGACATGGTATGGTTCAGTAGGGCTTGGATGGGCTGTTGTCAGCAATTATCATCGGTATATAAAAGTAACTGCCAATTGACTGGTTTTTCCTGTACGTGTGGGTAACAGGTAATCAGACAAGTGGGGATTGGGATTGATCTATACCAGAAACGCTTCATGCTCATTTAGGAAAGTTGAAAGGAGCATAAATGCCCCGGGATTCTTTTTCTGGGGAATAAATAGCTCTGTTTCTGTGAAAGCTTGACATTCTGCTTAGTTAGCATATGGCCCGTGGCCAAACACTGAGTAGAGCCTTTGTTTGCCGACTTTTCTAGGTTATAAATTGGTTTATAGCATTATGGGAATATATATGTATTTTCATTTTTGTCTACCTTAAAACTCATTCTGTACAATGTATAATTTAAAAATTCTAAGAGCATCTAAGTGTTTCTTTCCAATGTCATAAGTAGGTCTCATTTTTAATCTCTAAAAATAACTGTCTAGCTATCAGACATTTTACCATAAAATAATCTCTATGAGGCATTTGTCAAAAGAAGATGGATCTTGACATTTTGTCTTTCTTCTCCCCTAGATACTGTTTTTTGGATTCGGTTGGCTTTTCTTCATGCGCCAGTTGTTTAAGGACTATGAGGTGAGAAGAAACCATTTTATGCTTTAGTTTGTTTAGAATGGAACAAGAGAAATGATTCCATGAAAAAAAACAAAAAAACCTTTCCGGGCAGTGGTGGTACACTCAGGAGGCAGGGGCAAGCTTGTCTCAGTTCAAGACCAGCCTAGTCTACAGCGTAAGTTTCAGGACAGATAGGGAATACACAGAGAAACCCTATCTTTAAAATCAAACAAAAAGATTGTGTTCACTTCCTCAGATAGAAAACCTGTGCCAATCAATAATGTGCAATTCTGAAACTACATACTACAGCCAGGCTTCACAAATAGATTTATTATCTATCTCCTTACTAACTTACTTATCACAGGTTTGTGAAACTGGGTCTTGCTATGTAACTCAGGCTGGCCTGGGACTCCCTATATAGCTTAGGCTGACCAGTAACTCATAGCAATCCTCCTGCTTCAACCTCCCAAGTGGTAGTGGGATTACAGGCATGTACCACAAGGCCCTACTGGTTTGGGTGATTTAAAACCAAAAACAAAAATAACAACAAAAAACTTAAGAACCAGGAAGAGCATCTTTAGTCATTTGGGTGCCGTATACCCCGAAAGCAGAGGCTTATTTTCAAGAGGAAATTTAATTTCTAATGCCTGGGTTGTACCCTTTTAGTCCACAATTGCCAGCCTTCAAGGTTAAGTCAACACGCAAATCCCAAAGCTACTCTAGTTTTTGTTTTGTTTTGTTTAAGCCTTGGATTCATATCCTATGCTGGCCATTTTCTAATATAATTTCACTACTTAGTTATCTGGACACTTTGGAGGCATTTCTAAGATGTTCGTTATTAAGCCTCCTCGGGAGTTTTAGGAAGTGCCTGGAAGAGCCCAGGATTCTAGAGAATCTGTATGTTCTAAGGCCTCTCAGGAAAATTCTAGAGCCTATGTGAGCTCAACAGTGTTGAAGAACTGTTAACTTTAACCATGCGTGCAGACCTTTTCCCTTTCTGTCATTGACATCGGGCATCTAAATGCTGCTTGTGACCCAGTCATTTCGTCCTTTGTGCTTTAAATTCCCCAACCACGAGAAGATTCCGGTAAGAGGCGGCCATGAGTCCTAAGTGTTGCCCGCTTCAATCGTGTAACCCAAGTTTCTGCCTCAGACTGCAGAATTGAACACGGGTTTTCAGACTCGCCGTCGGAAGACTCTGCATTCAGAATGTCAGGGAAGCACATGACCGGCTTGGCATCCGACTTTTAACAGGTGCGGCAGTACGTTGTGCAGGTGATCTTCTCCGTGACCTTTGCGTTTTCCTGCACCATGTTTGAGCTTATCATCTTTGAAATCCTGGGAGTTCTGAACAGCAGGTGAGTGCCGGCCCGACATCCTTTCCCCGGAAGTGCATGGCCCTCCATTTGCAGTAGATGAGCCACCTGGATGTCATGGTGGAATTACCTACCATGCGGCTAGAGGTTAGTCTCGGGAGTTGCAGTGATCGCCAAAAATGATTACCTAGTAACGGGTTCACCAAGACGTCTCCAGGGGAAACTGCCCTGACCATTAGCTCTGCAGAACCCCCTGAGCATGAGGCCATGGGAGTCTCTGACCTGGGCTTCACTCCAGCAGCTTTCTGATTCTCAGACTCTGACCAAATGCTAGTCACGCCCCCAACTTGGCCACCACTTGAAAAGATCAAAATTCAAGGACTTCAAGGAAGACTGATCTCCAGTTCGTCTATCTTACCCACCCCGGTTAATTTTACACATAGTCAGGTGGATTGAACTGAGAATGGTTTGAAAATGTCTTTTTAAAATCCCTCCTGGGGCTTGGCTGTAGTCGTGACTCCTACTCCAGCTTTGTTCTATAGTAATCCAAACCTTGTCTGGATGAGCTACAGAGGATGGACAAGTAATTTTTATGCTGTTTGCTAGATTGCATTTCATAACATAGACATTTTACCTTTTGGTAGAATTTAGCAAACGTTTCTGTGAAACACTAGATATTCTTAAATATTTCAGACTTTGTAAGCTGTGGGATGTCTTCCATAACACTCAGATCTGCCGTTGTAAAGCAGAAGCGCTGTAAGCGGTGCGGAAACAAACAAGTACAGTCCTGCCCCAGTGAAACCTCATTGTGAAAGTTGCTAGGTGCAGGGGCCCTGGTTCACTGACTATAGAGCTGAGCGGTAGTCATGGGAAGAGCACACCTGCTGTTTGTGGTGCATTGTATCCCCAAACTCGCAACCCATGGTAATCCTTTCCTGTCAGAAACGGTCTGTCTTTCCCGTCAGAAATGGTCTGTCTTTAGTGCGCATTTCTCGCATTCCTCAATTTACCTTAGAGCGCAGGAATGAGCGCTGCTCAAGTCCGGTTCAGGTTTATTTTTCAGACGGGCTTTGTTTAGGCCGAAACATGTATGCTGCTATATCTCTTTCTTCATACCAACATTCTGTGGACAGAAATGTGGACCTTGATCACGTGGTCTGTTTTGCATTCACTAGATTCAGAATAACTTTCAGAAGAGAATTTTGCCTCTGAGTGAGTATTCCTTTGACATACCTCTAGGTAGAGGATGTAGGCATCCTGTTCACATGCAGAGGATTATTTGGATCCTTTTTTTTTTTTTATTTCAAGAGAACATCACTTTATTTCCTGTTAAAAAGACCAGCTAAAACATGTGACCACTTTTCTTATGTGTATCAGTGCTTTTACCTGTGTGCATGTTAAGTGTGCCATGTGTATGCCTGGTACCCAGATTAGCCAGAAGAGGGCATCAGATCCTCTGGCACTGGAGTTACTTTTTACTTATTTATTTAGAGAGAGGATCTCACTATATAGCCCTGGCTAGCTTGGGACTTATATATCCCAGGCTGACCTCAGACTCATAAAGATCTACCTGCCTCTTCCTTCTGAGTACTGGGATTAAAGATGTGTGCCACTATGCCCTGCATAAAAATTTTAATAGATAAAATGTATATTATAAATATTAATGAGAGTTGTGCATGTCAAATATTTAGATCAAACTATGAAAGTATTTGAGTCTTTATTACCTCAGAATTGCTATTAACATATATTTTTCCTTTAATAATTTTTATTTTAATTTTATTACATTTATTTATTGGGGAGGGGCACATAAATATAGGTCCCTGCATATATGTGGAAGCTGGAGGACAACTTTCAGGGCTCAGTGTTCTCCTTCTATAATGTGGGTCTGAGGAATCAAACTTTGGTCATCGGGTTTGGCACAAATGCCCTTACCCACTGAACCATCTCACCAGCCCTGTTTTGGTTTGGTTTTGAGACAGGGTGTCATGTAGCCCAGGACAGCCTCACACTTACTATGTGACAAAGGCTGATTTTGTGTCTTCTTGCCTCTACTTCCCAAGTCCTGGAATTATAAGTGTGTAGGACTAAGCTTTCCTTTAATTCTGTTTGTACCAGGGTTTTAGGGGGGCCACCGGCCAGCTCCCAACCTAGCTTGGGTTCGTTTCTGGCTATCTCTTTTAACTTAAATTAGCCATTTCTCTTTATCTACCTTTTACCTCAGGGATTTTTTTTTTAACTTTTCCCTCCTTCTGTATATCTTACTTTCAGTGTTTCTCATATCTGGCCTGGCTTCTTGCCTCAGCCATGTCTCTCTCTTTCTCCCTTGTTCTCCTCCTCATCCTTCTCTCATTCTCAAGAGTCTTCCTGTTTATTTTCTCTGCCCGCCAGCCCCACCTATCCCTTCTCCTGTCTAGCTATTGGCTATTCAGCTTTTTATTAGACCAATCAGGTGCCTTAGGCAGCAAGGTAAAATAAGTGTAACACATCTTTACGTAGTTAAAATGATGTTCCACATCTATTATTGTTGTTGTTATTTATTATTACTATCATTCTTATTACATTTAAAATCTATGTTATCCATATTGCCTAGGAGCATGACTGAAGTATTAACATTCTTACTTTTTAAAATGAAAATCTCAGGTTAAGATGGTCATGTACCATTTAGAAATTTTTATTGGTTTTGTTTCTTGTTTTCTTGCAAGACAGGATTTCAATGATGTCACCTAAGCTGGCCTTGAATTCATAGTCCTAGTTCCTCTTCCTAAATGCTGATATTATAAGCATAAACCACCAAGGAGGGGGGAAGGATTAAAACAGGGTATCTTTCCGTAACCCCAGCTGTCATGGAACTCACTATGTGAGACCAAGCTAGCCTCAAACTCACAAAGATTCTCTTGAATCTGCCTCCCAAGTGCTGGGAGTACAGGCGCCCAGCTGTGTAACAGTCTAGTTGGCTGAGTAGATGGAGTGTGTTCAGTGTTGGCTCCAAGAGCAGGGGTCTTTGGAACACTAACAGAATGGACTTGCCAACCTGCCCTCCAAATGACTTTGACATTGATTTCAGCTCCCGTTACTTCCACTGGAAGATGAATCTGTGTGTGATTCTGCTCATCCTGGTCTTCATGGTCCCTTTCTACATTGGTTATTTTATCGTGAGTAACATCCAACTTTGTGAGTATTTTGCCTCCTTATGTCAGCACCTAGCCTGGGATGCATGCTGTTGGGAGTAGATCACAGACAGCCTCACTTGTCTGTTTTTATAATGGTGACTGGGGACACCAGCATCTTAAAGCAGTCATAAGATGAGTTCTGTCTGAAAAAATAGATTGTGTCTCCTGCCAGAGATTAATTTCTGCTTCTGCTATGATGTTCCCTTCAATTCATCCACACTGTAATTTTAGCAACATTTTTCTAATGAGGGGGAGGGTTTGGGGGAGTTGGGAAAAGAAAAGGAATATGACCAATATGTGAAGTTCCGGTATTTGCATATTAGTTACGTGTGTGATGGGCTGTTTAGTAGCTGTCCTCCTGACAGCCTCGTTCCCGTCTCAGTGCACAAGCAGCGCCTGCTCTTCTCCTGTCTCCTATGGCTGACCTTCATGTATTTCTTCTGGAAGCTGGGCGATCCGTTTCCCATTCTCAGCCCAAAGCATGGTGAGTACAGTGGGAAGCATGGCTGTTCCGTCTTCTAATTAGAAATGAAAAATAACCCTTCAAACTTTGATTGTGGGAAATACAGCAAGATATTTCTCTCAAAAGTATTTGGCTTCAAAATAAAATTCTTCCTTCTTTCCAAGGGCATCGAACGCTAGTTTGGCTGCATAGGAATTATAGAGCATGCGTGATTGCCAGTCAGCTTTCTGTTACTGTCGCAAGAATTAATTAACTTAAAACAAGAAAGATTTATTGTGACTCACAGCATTGGAGGTTCATCAGTGGGCGCTTGGCCTGTTGGGTCTATTGCAAAAAAGTGCATTATAGTGGGAGCTCGTGGCAAAGGAGACACCCTTCATGACACCGAGAAATGCAGAGAAGGAAGAGGGGTGCCTGGGTGTCACTGTTCTCTTCAAGAGCATGCCTTTCTGATAGACCCTTGTTTTCTTTTTCTTGAAAGTGGAGGTCAATGGACATCTCTCGAGAGTCAGTTCTCTCCTTCTGCCATGTGGATCCCAGAGATCAAACTCAGGTCATTAGCCCTGGCAGCAAGCGCTCTTACCCACTGAGCCAGCACAGAGCCTCTGCCCAGCCGCTCACCACCCCTGCACTGTTCATGTCCACATGGGCATGCCAGTTTGGTGAAACCTACAAACATTTGAGCCTTAGTCTCAAGAAAGCCTGGGAATGAAAGAACTTTGTGCTTCCCAGATCCTAGTACAGAGGGGGAAAGCTGGAAAAGGATTGGATAGATGCCGAGTGCATCAGAGTCTGCAGTCTGCACACCTCCCATCCTTCCACGGCACCAGAGTCTGCAGTCCGCACACCTCCCAACCTCCTTCCATGTGTTCACATGACCTGGTAGCTTGGATTTGGGGAAGAAAAGTTTTCCTTCATTTGGGTCAGAGGAAACACATAGTTTCTGAAAGCACATAGCCATTCAGTGAGATGGCTCAGAAGTCAAAGGCATCGGCTGTCAAAGGCATCGACCCGAGTTCCATCTCTGGGATCCACATGGTGGAAGGAGATCACTATCTGCCACATCCCCTCTAACCATATGTGTGCTGTGGTCTGGTGCATGCAAACAAATAAAGCGAATTAATAAAGAAATAAAAACCAATTTTAACAGAAGCACAGTTTGCATAACTAAGTATATTTAAACATAAATAGCAGTATCTGTTGCAGCATTTCAAATAATAAGCACAGGAGTTCAGCAGCCTGTCATTAATAATTAAAAGTAATGCTTGTCGGCTGGAGAGCTGGCTCAGTGGTTAGAAGCACTTATGCTCCTGCGGAGGACCTGGGTTTGGTTCCCAACACCCATGTGGTGATTCACAACCGTCTGGAACTACAGTTGCAGGGGATCCAGTGCTCTTCTGACCTCTGCAGGCAGCAGGTATACTCATAGGCAAAACACTCATGCATAACAAATGAATCTAAAGCACGAGTTGTACTGGGCTACACGTACTGGTTGATATTTTAAGTAATGTTAGCTTTCGTGGTGCAGGTGACAGCCACTCCGTGTGTGTTGCCTGGCCTTGATGTGTTTGGATGTTTTTAGGGATCTTGTCCATAGAACAGCTCATCAGCCGGGTGGGCGTGATCGGGGTGACGCTCATGGCTCTGCTGTCCGGATTTGGTGCCGTCAACTGCCCGTACACATACATGTCCTACTTCCTTAGGTAATGCATACTTCATTTCCTTCCTGGTTCATTGTTCCTGGAACATGTGTGTCATGCCACATCTTTAATACATATTAGATCTAGGACTGCTTTCTTATCCTTCCTCTGTGTCCATGGGTGCTTATCAGACACCTTCCTTACAAGTCTTTTCTCATTTCTTAGGAAACAGCAACTCCACACATAGCTTAAGTTTAAGTTAGATTCTCTGACCTCAAGCCCCGGACACTGGGATTACAGGCATGTGCCACCACATCCAACTCCTTTATTTTTTAAGTGGCAAATTTCATGCCCCTGTACCATGCTATTTAAATGCGTGTTTCCGGTGGGCAACAGTGTGGACAACAGTGTGGACATCTCCCAACTTCCGTAAATTGGTTCCTCCTTAACATCGAATAGTAGAAGACATCGCCAATTTAAACATTTTAAAATATTTTATGTATATAAGTTCCTGTGTATATGCATGTGCATATGTGTACACCTGGTGCCCACAGAGCCTCAGCTGCTGCTCTGGAACTGAGTTACAGACCTGTGCGCCACCACAGAGAGGGCAGAAACTGGCCACTCTGCAGGAGGGGCCCTACTCCTTTTTTCCTTTTTTTGACCCCTCAAGTTTGTTTGTTGGTTTGTTTTTCAGGTTTTGTTTTGCTTTTTGTTGTTTTCCTTTTCAAGACAGGGTTTCTCTGTGTATCCCTGGCTACCCTGGAATTCACCCTGTAGGCCAGGCCTGCCTTGAACTCACAGAGATCTGCCTGCCTCTGTTTCCCAAGTGCTGGAATTAAAGATATGCACCACTGCCTGCCCAGTACTCTTAACCTCAAACCAGCTTTCTAGCCACTAAACATTTTAAATGTGTCTGGGTCAAGGCTAAGAAATAAGAAAGACTGTGAGGGCTCAGGGTACCCTCTACTGCTTAGGACAACCGAAAACTTAGCTATAAGAAGCAACACTACAAGCATTTTAGCCTAATGGAATCATTTAATATTTTCCAGAAAAGCAGGCCCTTGAATTGTTGAGTAGCAATTGGGGTTTATGATTCACCAGATGGTTTGTATGATGTGCATGGATGGGACCCCAAAACCTGGCTCAGTTTTTGCTCATTGCAGGAACGTGACTGACACGGATATCCTGGCCCTGGAACGGCGGCTGTTGCAGACCATGGACATGATCATAAGCAAAAAGAAAAGGTGAGGCCAGCACACTGTGCTTGCTGTGCTCGCTGTAGAGAGCCCAGGCACCTTCTTACTGTCTCCACTGCAGGGCTGTGCTCACTGTAGGAGGCGCCTTCTTACTGTCTCCACCACAGGGCTGTGCTTGCTGTAGAGAGCCCAGGTGCCTTCTTACTTGTCCATTGCAGGGTGATGTACCACCAAAGAGCCAGTCTCGCTCAGATGAAGACATTCTCAAGTTCTGCTTTCTGATTTTCAACTCTTCCCTTTAGATCCTTTGTTAAAATAATGTTGATATTTGGAGGTTTTTTTTATTTTTTTCATTTGTTTTTTCACTCAATTTTTTAATGTCACTGTGCAGAGGACAAGGACAGGTACTCTAAGGCTGTTGTCCTACAGTTTTTACAAACCTTTCCTTGTTTGACCTGGAATTTTTTTTTCACTTATTTTTCTCCAACTACCTAAGACTCCTTTAAGTCTTGTAGCCTTTGCTGTTTTTATTTTTGTTACAATGTTTTCCTGTCTGCCCCAGCTAGAGAGGGCGGTGACAGAGCAGAGAGGAGTCCAGCCAAGTCCAGCCTGGTGAGCCTGGGAGTTTAGTGGGATCCACAGGAGCGTGAGTGACTTGGGCGTTTACATCACTGAAAAGCCATTCCAGTGTGAGTGACACCTCATGCAAGTTCTAACAGTGGAGCCCCAGCCCTGCAGCTTAAGGCAGTTCTCTACCAAAGAGCATCCGTCTGCATGCATGCGCATGCATACACGCACACACTCCTGCCTCCAGCAGTTGCTCAGCACTTCTGTGAACTATAAGGGGAACTTCTTTGAATCTTGTGTCTTCTGAATTATATTCACTCTGAGAGTCTACAATGGAATGCAGTATGAGGAAACACACACACACCAAAAAGTTACATAAAAATTGCCCAAAAGAGGGCTGGAGAGATGGCTCAGAGGTTAAGAGCATTGCCTGCTCTTCCAAAGGTCCTGAGTTCAATTCCCAGCAACCACATGGTGGCTCACAACCATCTGTAATGAGGTCTGGTGCCCTCTTCTGGCCTGCAGACATACGTGCAGACAGAATATTGTATACATAATAAATAAATAAATATTAAAAAAAAATTGCCCAAAAGAGTACTGCTGCCATACATGTTTTCAGAGTGGCATATTTATAAAAATTTGTGTCGTAGTGAGCCTGAAAAGCTCTCTGAAATCAAACTATCTTCATTTGAATCTTCTGTCATACCTTATAATATGATCTTGAATTAGGCACTGTGTCTTTGTGCCTGTGTTTCCTCATGCAGAAAAAAAAAAAAGAAGAAATAAGACAAGTGCGTTGGCACATGCCTGTAATCCCAACATTTGTGAGATAGGCAGGAGAATCAGGAATTGAGAGCCTGAAAAGGATACAAGTGTGCATTAGTGAGCATGGACCACGTGGCAGAGCCTTGTCTCACACACAGCAGAAAGGAGAAGCAGCCTCTAAGAAGAGTGGGTCATAACTAGCAAAGGCAAATATTGAGCTTATTGATAATCTAGAATAATCACTTGGTTTCCATAAGCTCATTTATTTTTATCTTTAGGAAACAGTCTCTGCTAGACACTATACCACACATTCATGAAGCTTCTTAGGCTGCTGTCTTTATTAAAGCCATTATCCACATGTGACCAGTTTTGAATTGACAAGTAGTTCTGTGTTTCTTCTTCCTTCCTTCAGCACATTTCTGTGTTTTGAGCCATAGTCACATCAGAGAAGCCGTAGTGGAGGAGACAGCAGTAGACATCAGAATGACAAGAACAGCTCCAGCTCACTGAGTAATGCTTGTCTCCGTCTGTACATGTCTTTACTGAAGTCTGGAAGGTAGACATGTGGCTGTACGCTTACTTTACTTACATACATGTCACTTATATTTCATACATATATCTATAGAAATGTAAAAAAATAAAAAGACTATTCGATATATATATATATATATATATATATATATATATATATATACATACATACATATGTAGTAATAGGAAGCGGCGGGGCTGCGTTCCCAGTACCCCGGCCGCCTACTAGCTTATGCCCGAAATAACAACACACAAACTGTATTCATTTAAACACTGCTTGGCCCATATCTATCTAGCCTCTTCTCGGCTAACTCTCGCATCTAGACTAGCCCATTTCTAATATTCTATGTAGCACAGCTAGGTGCGCTTACCGGGAAGATTCTAGCCTACATCCATTCTGGGTTGGAGCTTCATCGCGTGTGTCTGTCCAGGAGCGGGGCATGGCGTCTCTTCTGAGGCATCTGCTCCCGAGAGGAGAGCTGTCGAGTCTGAGCTCACTTCTCTTCCTCCCAGCATTCTGTTCTGTTTTCTCCACCCACCTGTGTTCTAACCTATGAGGGCCAGCCAAGCAGTTTCTTTATTTTTTTAACCAATGACCTTCCTCCATCATACATATATATATATGAATTATATTATTTTGGTCCCCAAGGTTATTTTCCCTTTTGTGATATTCTGTTAACGAAAAGACACAACTGATATTTAAGATAGAATCAGACCTCAGGCAGTTGTAGACGGACCCTCACCTGTCTTAAACTAGTTGTGGTGAGGAATTGGCTCTGACTCAGGCACATTGTTATCCAGTTCTTCTATAACCTGTCTGGTCTGGATCAGGGGCGGTTTGGGTCCTGTAAGAATCACTTAACCAAACAGGTTCTCAGAGGAACTGGCCTCCCAGCTGCACTTGGTTAGCACAGGCTTCTCCCACTGGAGCTAAGGGACATGAAAACGGCCAACAACACTGGGCTGGGCACTTAGTACAATGTAGACTAACCTTTTGGCAAATACCTGTAGCCGGGGAGGAGCAGTGGCCAGAAGCCACTGTAGATTTAACAGTGGGGGAGCACAGCACAGTGGCCTGCAAGAACAGTATCTGGTGTGGACAAGATGGGGCGGGGGAAACATGGAACAAGGCAGGAAAGGTCTTAGCCTCTGTGTGGAGTCGGGTGCCACTAGGCTGACGCGGATGGGGACAAAATGCATCTGAGTGAAACTTAAGTCCCGACCCTCAATGCTTTAAATCCGTCGTCGAGGGAACCTCCGGGACTGACAGTGTGAGTCAAGCAATTGCTTCTGCAGGGAGTCTTAAAAAGTTGAAGTCACTGGTAAATGAACACTGGTTAAAAAAATAAAATTGAGAAGAATATTAAGTGACTGCTAGAAGCTTCTGGCTTTATTGTCTGAGTGTGCTCCATGGAGTTCAAATTAGCAGAATACCTGGAAAATGAAAGTGAAGCGTTGGAACCAGGGATGCTAGAGGGGCCACGCTCCATAATCTAAATGTTAGCGCCACCAGATCCTGCCTAGCCACTCAACAGTACATACACAGAAATCTCCAGAGCCCAAGAAGCTGTCACTGATAGTCACACGCTTCCTAGATTTGCAAGTTTTCTCTGCCTGAATGGCTGCCTGAGGTTTGTGCAGGCTGGGCACACACTTGGATGACAGGAAGGGAAAGCCTTTGGGCATCACGTATGAGAAGGTAGAGCTCAGGACTGATGGTCAGAAGTTTAGGAGGCTGTAAGGAGAGGAACCACAGAAAGTCCTCAAATGTGGCTACAGAATTTGTCTGATGTCCTTAGCAGGCGCTGTGGACTTTAGCCAGAACTTACAGTACTGGGGCGGGGTGGTGGGGGTTCCCACAGTCACACATGTCTACCAGAACAAGTCTCCATCAGAAAGTCTAGACTCAGCTCTGAGGGAATGAAACTGAGCATTTCAGCATACAAAATAGGCAATAACTTCATATGGGCCCAGATGATGAACGTTTAGCTAAGACTTGAACACAGTTAGCATAGGTCCATTCAAAGGAATAAAGGAAAATACGATATTAATTAGTGGAAGCAATAAGGAGTTACTACAAAAATACAGATTCAGAAAAAGTTCAATGGAGGCAGGTATTTTACCAAAGGATTCTGAGACAGTAAACCCACAGCCTTTCCCTCCTCTGGTAAAACCTGAATCTAAGTTTCACAGTATGTAGAAAAATGAATTCAAACAGACCTTGAACTTAGATGTACAGTATAAAACAACAAAACTTTTAGGGGGAAAAATCTTTGAGATCTAGAAATAAGCAAAAATTCTAATATTTAGCCCCTAAAATACAGTCCATACAACAAAAACAGAGTACTGTGTGAAAAAGAAGGAAAGAAAAGCTACAGGCAGGGAGAAAGTGTTTGAGGAAAGACTCCCGAAGTTCACATTAAAAAAAAAAAAAACAGTACAGTCAGAATGCAGGCAACTAACATTGGATGTCATTATGTCAGCATGGTGGCTGTGACATAGTAGTAGCCTCTATGGACATGCAGTTAATGGTAAGTTAGGATGACTCAGATAAAACTTGGTGACAGTGGGTTGGAGAGGTGGCCCAGCAATTAAGAGCACATCTATAAATGCATAGAATCCATGCTCTATTCCTGTCACCACCTCAGCTTATAACCGCCTATACCTCCAGCTCTGGGGATCTGACGCCTCTTCTGGACCCCACAGATATACTCACGTGCACAGACGCACATATACACAGACCCACTCACATGCACACACACATACACACACACCCACTCACATGCACACACACAGACGCACTCATATGCACATACATACACACCCACTCACATGCACACACACACTCACATGCACACACACATACACACACACACACACTCACATGCACAGATTCACACAAGACACACTCACATGCACACAGAGACACTCAAATGCACACACACATATACACAGAGACCCTCTCACATATACACATATCCACTCACATGCACACACACATACACACAGACTACTCACATACACAGACAAATGAACATGTTTTAATGGTATAATACAGAATGCTAGTTGGTAAGGATACAGAAAACAGGACTTACATAAGTTCCTGGTACAAATTAGGGTGGTAGAGTAACTAGAATATGATCTAGCTTTCTTTAAAAAAAAAAAAAAACAAGCCGGGCGGTGGTGGCGCACGCCTTTAATCCCAGTACTCGGGAGGCAGAGGCAGGCGGATCTCTGTGAGTTCGAGACCAGGCTGGTCTACAAGAGCTAGTTCCAGGAGAGGCTCCAAAACCACAGAGAAACCCTGTCTCAAAAAACAAAAAAACAAAAAAAAACAAAACAAAAAAAAACAAAAAAAAAAAACCCTAAACATTCCAGTATCCAAATCCAGAAATTGTATTAGGTGTTCACGCAAAGAACACAAAAATGAACATAGCATTATTTTTAGCAGCTTTATTCATAGAAAGCCCAAGCCCAAACTAGAGATAACTTTTCATGGGTGAGTGATTAAAAACACTGGTAATAACCATACTGTGGAATGCTATTTAGAAGTAAGAATGAACAAACTTCAGTGCACACAAGAACCTCGACAAACCTACAGGACCTTTGCTTAGTGGAAGGAAGGCCATTCGCTGTAGGACAGACACTGCTCCATCCTCGTCATGAGGAAGGCCATTCGCTGTAGGACAGACACTGCTCCATCCTCGTCATGAGGAAGGCCATTCGCTGTAGGACAGACACTGCTCCATCCTCGTCATGAGGAAGGCCCTCCACCATAGGACAGACACTGTTCCATCCTCGTCATGAGGAAGGCCATTCGCTGTAGGACAGACACTGCTCCATCCTCGTCATGAGGAAGGCCCTCCACCATAGGACAGACACTGCTCCATCATAGTCATATGCATGTTCCGGAAATGACAAAACTGAAGAATTGGAGGACATTTCCAGGGGCTGAGGAATTGGTATTAGGTGAGTTGTGGACTCTCCGAGGACAAATGAAGGTCCTTTAGTGATGGAGATGTTGTATTCATAAGTGTTTGAATGTCGACTTCCCCTATACTTAAAGCCATATATGAGTGTCTGTTATTTCTAAAATTCTGAGTTCTGATGGGCTGGTGAGATTGTTTGCCACTAAACCTGGTGATATGATTCCATCCTCAAACCCACATACTTAAAGGACATACACACAAATAATAAAATATTTTAAATAAAGAGAAGTAATGGCTGAACTAGAAATGAGAACTATGAAACCATAGGGTGACATAAAGTAGAGTGCCTGCATCAGCAACACGTGCGCTAAGATCCGAGCGGGCACAATTAGCATGGCCCCTGCACATAACAAGGATGATGTGGGTCTTCATGACGTGTTCGATGCTCTCTAAAGAGCGGAGTAGACATTTTTCAGACTCCTCTCATTCATGCTTCTGCCAGACCTCAGCCGCCTGCCTGTGGTTTTCTTATGAGGAGTTTTTAAATGGCATCCGACCCATAGTAAATAGCTTCCTTCCTGTCACAAGTGACCTTACAAAGGGAGGCAGTAGGAAAGCTGAAGGCAAAAATGGCTACGGTGCTTGTGTGTTCGAATACATTGGAAAAGCGCATCTCAGAAAGGTTGATCCTGTTCACCTGTTCTTCTTCAGTGTATGTTTATTTTTGTCTGCAACTTATTTGCCAAGAGCAAAACAGGGTTAGAATTAGGTGATTAAAACCAAAAGTGGAAGTAAATTGTCTAAAACTGGGGGTACCTGTCGGCCTACAGCCAACTTTCACGTCTGGTTATTCCGTTTGTCTGTCTGCTGAGAGTGCACAGCACGGCGTCTGTCACCTTCACATAGGCAGCCAGTGCCACAGCACAGCCTTTACATGTTGAAGGGACAACAGAAATGACGTCTGTGCTCCTCTTTCAGCTGCCTTGCTGCTCACCCCAGGTGCTGAGCCCAAGTAAACTATGAATGCATAGCCCAGAACCTCATCACACGCTGGTCCCACACTCCCGTTGGAGCTGGCTGAATTGTGGGTCTAAGCCTTTGCTGGTTCTTTTTTATGTCTTCCCAGCATGCCAAGCTATGGGGCATATGTCAGGAAAGGCAGAAAGCTCAAGCTTGGGGTAGTTCATTCTTCCAGCACCCAGGCAGAGCTCGCTGGGGAGGAGGCTCTTCCAGCAGCCATTGTTGTAAATGGCCTTTTACCTGGGGCTTTAAAAATTTAGCCCACAGAAATGCCACCTGGCCCTTGGTCCCCTGGTGCCATTTGTAGGAGTCCCAGACGTGAAACCAGTGCCAATGCTTTCTCCTCTCCATTTTTACCTCTCGTCACCCAGAAATGTCCTCCTTGGATTTCTCTGTGGCCTCCCTTGTACCTGTACTAGATCCACGCTGGTTGACTTTGGGCCCGTTGTACTCTTCAATCATTTGTATGTTTTCTGAGCTCACGGGACCTTGTTCCTATTGCCTCTGAGAGATTAGAACTTGCCGGCAGCCGGCACTGGGCCACGGAGTCCCCCATAGAGGAGGAGGGGGGAGGGAGTGATGTCATTATGTCACGTCATCCAGCCGTGGCTTGGGTAACAGTCATGGAGAGAGGTGGACTCAGTGAGCCAAGAGGCCCTGTTTATGTCATCTTCCTTTTTCCTCTCTGTCATCGGCCTTTCCTTGTGTCCTCCTCTGCATGGTTCTTTATCTAGATCTGTTAGCTGCCTCTTGTTCTTTAATTGATACTAACAGACAGCGAGGACGAGGCTGGCTGTTATTAGTCTCTATAACCATCCAGAGTGGGGAAGGAAGCTGCAGGTCTCTCAGCTTTCAGGGACCTACTCCATGTCCTGTGCCTCTGGACCAGGCCACATCACCAGCGGACACACAGCCGTGGCATGAAAAGGTGGATGGGACGAGGCTGAGGCACGCTTCTTCGCTCAGGCTTCTGTTTTCTTTATTTCAGGATGGCCGTGGCACGGAGAACCATGTTCCAAAGGGGGGAGGTGCAGAACAAGCCGTCAGGACTCTGGGGCATGCTGAAGAGCGTGACTGCATCAGCCCCAGGAAGCGAAAGTATCCTTTATCCCCTCTGACTTTTCTCCTCTCCGCACCAGGGGCAGAAAAAGCCTACTGCTAGGTCAGACCCCTCTAGGGAGCCTGAAGCATCAGGGTGCAGACTCGCCAGCACTGGGCATAGGAAGTCTGTGGGTACCTGACAGAGGCAGCCTGAGCTGGAGGGATCTGTGAGGTTGTTCTTACCAATGAAAAGAGCCAGAGAAGTAAAGTCACAAGTGGCTTGTGGTAAATGTAGTAGCGGGACTGTGTTCACACCTCCATAACTTGTTCTGCCCTGCTGTTTCATGTCGCATGGCTGCAGCAGCGGGTGGTGCATGCGTGTGCTGGCAAGGGTCCATTTCTTACCCATGTAGTGCCTACAGAGATTTCAAGTACCGCCATTTCTTCCTTAAATACCAGGATGACTGGGTTTATAGACTGTGCCTGGCCCTGCTGGTTTGGGGGCTCACTAATTCCCACATGGGGATATCCAAGTCTGTGTGTGGCCCCCGTGTCAGACTGAGGGCTGATATGAAGTGGCACATCCCTGCTCCCTCTCGCCCAGATCAGTCAGTTGCAGAAGGACACAGGCTGTTGAGATAGACCATGCCACACCGTCTGATGCGGCTGCAGATAAGAATTAGGCAGGAAGCCAGGCGACTGTGGCAGAAAGAGAAGAGCGGGTAATCGGGTCTGGAGAGATGGCTCCGTGGCTAAGACAGTGCACTGCTCTTGCAGAGGCTTGAGTTCAGTTCCCAGCACCCACATCAGGTGACTGATAGCCACCTGGAACTGTGTTTCTGGGGAGACCCACCAGCTCTGCCTTCTGAGGGCACCTATGCTCATAGGCGCACCCCACCTCCCCCTACACATACACAGCTAAAAGTAAAACCAATCTGTTTTTAAAACAGAAAAGCAATCCTGAAGCATTTGATTTGTGTCTGTTCCTAGGCAGTGCTGAGTGATAGATCGATGAATCGAACCTTCTCAAGGGAGACAGACCTGTGACTGTTCCACTCTGACGCTGAGGGCCATAGGCCTTGCTGATGGCCCCAGATGAGGGGAGGAACAGAAGGGCACTTTGGATTTCACAAAGGAAGGAAGCTTTGAATTACTAGGACTTAATATCTTTATTACTTTAAACTCATAAAAACCAAAGTGTAGGTTAATAAATATGTTAACAAGCGTATGAAGGTGACGTTAGCTCTCTGAGCACCTGTTTCTTTAATAGTGACACTGCTCACCAGGTGTGGAAGATAACATCTGGCAGTGGAAAGGGCAGGCCCACCTGTAGGCAAGTGGCCCTAGCCGCCACGCCTGGGTATATGATTGGAGCCTCTTTCCTTGTCTGAGAGATGGGTAGCAACTGTCCTGTGGGAATGTGGGGGGTAAAGAATGAAGCATCTGGAAGAGCTAAAGAAGGTAGTGACGAAAGCCAGCCTGGTGACTCGGTGCCACTGAGCCACGCACTCCCAGCACAGACTACTCAGATGGTGTAGAGTTGCTGCATCATAGGTCTTGGTGCTGTGCTCCATTTGAGGCCTCAGGGATTGAGCAAACACCAAGCTCAGGAAAGCATCTGTCTGAAAAACCAGACATCTGGGGTGCTCCTTCACCCCCCTGTCAGGCCGGAGCACTACCCCAAGAAACCAGACATCTGGGGTGCTCCTTCACCCCCGTCAGGCTGGAGCACTACCCCGAGAAACCAGACGTCTGGGGTGCTCCTTTACCCCCCTGTCAGGCCGGAGCACTACCCTGAGAAACCAGACATCTGGGGTGCTCCTTCACCCCTGTCAGGCCGGAGCACTACCCTGAAACACTACTGGCTGAGGTGGGAAATTCCAGACACAGGCAGGTCCCAGCGTACGCCCTCTAGAACAGCTGAAGCGCCCTCTAGAACAGCTGAAGCGAACCCTTTCCTCCCGCTGTTTTCTGAAGTTTCTCGGTGGTTTAACCCTTGATGCCCGCTTTCCGCCAGATCTGACTCTTATTCAACAGGAAGTAGATGCTCTGGAAGAACTAAGCAGGCAGCTTTTTCTGGAAACAGCTGACCTGTATGCTACTAAGGTACAGAGCAAGGGGACAGCTATGCTTTTACCACACGGGTGAAGAGAGGATAAGACCTGACTTGTCAGAGTCCTCTGTGACCAGGCAGTGCTCCTGAGTAAGCTGAGTGGCGTTAGGAAAGAGGGCTTATGTGTAGGAAATCTCTCTGTGATGGCAAAATCATTCCTGGAACCTCTCAGCAAAAGAACTGGAGGGATAGCAGAGACTTCAACACCCGGGAGGCTGGCCCACTCCACTTCCTGTTCCGGCCAGAGATAAAGATGGTCACCTCAGTTCTTCTTCCTGCCTCACAAATTAGCCCCATCACAAGAGCGATGGGTGCCTGTGTTACTGGGACTTCCCAAGGCACACCGAAAATGCAGTGTGGTTGAAATAGACAGACTTAAGGTTGCAAATGATTCTAAGCTTCTCTGAGGGCCACTTCCAGGGTGGCTCTAAGGGCTGGGGGTTGCCAGCGTGGCCTGAGCCCACTCACCGCCTAACCCTGGGCAAGTTGTTTAACCTCTAGACTCAGTTTCTCGTCTTTAAGATGAAGGGCCTAGGACATGTCTCCCGAGGGTTGTGGAGCTTTGGATGCTGGTGGGAATAGGTTGTCCTGTCTGGCTGACAGGTAGCACTCAGCCCAGGTTGCCGCTGGTAACATCACTTACTGTTGCTACCATGTGTATTGTTTGACTCAGCCTCAGCAGTGAGTCGCAGGCGTGGGAATGCTTTTGTGGAAAATGTTTGCCTTTTGTCAGAACCATGTTTTGTGTTTGGTTTTCCTAGGAAAGAATCGAATACTCCAAAACATTCAAGGGGAAGTATTTCAATTTCCTGGGTTACTTTTTCTCTATTTACTGTGTCTGGAAAATTTTTATGGTACGTATATTATAGGATTTATTTATTTATTATTACTTATTGATTTTACTAATGTTTTCTATGTATTATTTCTATTGTTGTTTGTTGGTGTTTATTAGTAATAATAAAGTTTATGAAGAAGCCAGAGGATGCCCTGGGGAGTCAGTTCTCTCCTTCCACTTTGTTGGAACAGAGTCTCTTGTTCTAAGCTGAGCACTCCTGGCCAGCTGAGCACTCCTGGCCAGCTGAGCACTCCCGGCTACATGAGCACTCCCAGCCAGCTGAGCACTCACCGCTAGCTGAGTACTTCCGGCTACCTGAGCACTCCCTGCTAGCTGGCCCACAGACTTCAGGCAGTTCTCTGAATCCATCTCCTATCTTGGCAGAGGACTTCAAGGGTTACAGATTCAGACTATCATGTCCAGCTAGGGGTGGGGCAGGGGCCGAGGTCTAGGTCTCAGACCTGGGTCCTCAGGCTTGCAAGTGGCAAGCACTTTCTCCGAGCTGTCTCAGCAATGGTGTTTTTAATGGTTAGAGTTTGGTGACTTTTTCAGGGAGTGGCAGGCTTTAGGTGGGCTTGGCTGATAACACCGAGCTCAGTTGCACATTGGACCAAACATCACTGTCGCACTGCCAAGCATCTCTTCTGTCCCGTCCCCCCAGGAGGAGTTGGAAAGGGGGATGCATACATTTCTTATTTTATACTCTTCCGTAATGCCTGTGGGCACTGATTATTTCACCTCAACTTCAGTTTTCAGCTTAGAATAGAAGCCAGTTTTTATAATGCGCACTAAAACTTAAGTACAGATAAATTCTAAGATTGCTTCTGTAGTTCATACTTGTTTTCTGCTCTTGCCAGTCTGGCTGTCCCTCAGTGATCTGATTTATCCATTGTGTATTGATTTCTCTGCCTCTGACTCAACTGTGGTGTGCATGTCCTGTAGTTGTAGGGAAAAGGCTGAGTTCATGGTCTGGTTGGGTGAGTTTCCCGCTGGGGCAGTTTGTACAAAGAACAGCTTTGTCAGCCCATTAGCTCATTTTGATCAGTGCCCGTGAGTGGGGGCTTTGAATCACTGGCGCTAGAGTCATCGCACTCACAGGACGCTCTCGAGTCTGGGAGAGAGCGCAGAGCTGCAGCATCACACTCACAGGACGCTCTCGAGTCTGGGAGAGAGCGCAGAGCTGCAGCCTCTAGGGAGCATGCCACCTGTTCAGCAGCTGCATTCAGCTGCAGTAGGCATGTACCGAGCTGTGTGCATTTTAAATGCACAGCTTGATAAGTTTTGAACCAGGTACATCTGTACCATAGCTGCTACTCTGTTCAGATAGAGAAAACCCATCACGGTCAAATTTCCGTGCACACCCAGAATGCTTCCTCCCATCCCCAGTCCTGAGGCGGCAGCTAGTCTTTCTTTTCTGTCACAGTGTATTAGTCTGTATTTTCTAGATGTTTATAGAGATGTAACCAGACAGTGCGCATACTTTTTCTGCCTTGCTTTTGTCTGTTTTCTATCTTCAGCCTGATTGTTGGACTGTGGCAGTGTTACTGTGTGTACAGTAATTTGTTCCTTCTTACTGCTGAGCAGGATTCTGTGGTGTGGCTGTGCCACAGTTTGCAAACCCATCCTCCAATAGTAGACATCTCATTGTTTCCTGTTTGGGGACGTCACATGTGTGCCGTGAACACACACATACACAAGCCTGTGTGTGAACATATGCGCTCTTTTCTCTTAGGCAGACACGTTAGGGTGGGGCATCTGACTAATGTGACAGACACATGCTTCACTTTTAAACTTCGTTGTTAAGGGAGTCGCTTGCCCAGGTGCACCTGTGGAGGTCAGAGGACAACTTTGAGGCTGTCCTCTTCCCACCTCTATGCGGGTGGGGATTGAACTCGTGTTGTCAAACCTGAGAAGCAAGCGTAACCCAGTAGCTGTTGATGTTTTCAGAGTTGTACAACTTATCACCATAGTCAGGTTTGAACATTCCTACCAAACCAGAACCATTACCTCAGTCAAGTACTGAATGTTTTTATTAAACCTGAAAGAAGTCCCAGGTTCACTAGCAGTCATGCAGCGTGTGTGCTCCGGTCCCCGTGCCCCGGTGTCAGGCGGCATGTGTGCTCCGGTCCCCGTGCCCCGGTGTCAGGCGGCATGTGTGCTCCGGTCCCCGTGCCCCGGTGTCAGGCGGCATGTGTGCTCCGGTCCCCGTGCTCACAGTGTCAGGCGGCATGTGTGCTCCGGTCCCCGTGCTCACAGTGTCAGGCGGCATGTGTGCTCCGGTCCCCGTGCTCACAGTGTCAGGCGGCATGTGTGCTCCGGTCCCCGTGCTCACAGTGTCAGGCGGCATGTGTGCTCCGGTCCCCGTGCTCACAGTGTCAGGCGGCATGTGTGCTCCGGTCCCCATGCTCCAGTCCCCGTGCCCCAGTGTCAAGCGGCATGTGTGCTCCGGTCCCCGTGCTCACAGTGTCAGGCGGCATGTGTGCTCCGGTCCCCGTGCTCACAGTGTCAGGCGGCATGTGTGCTCCGGTCCCCATGCTCCGGTCCCCGTGCCCCCGTGTCAGGCGGCATGTGTGCTCCGGTCCCCGTGCCCCCGTGTCAGGCGGCATGTGTGCTCCGGTCCCCGTGCCCCGGTGTCAGGCGGCATGTGTGCTCCGGTCCCCGTGCTCACAGTGTCAGGCGGCATGTGTGCTCCGGTCCCCGTGCTCACAGTGTCAGGCGGCATGTGTGCTCCGGTCCCCGTGCTCACAGTGTCAGGCGGCATGTGTGCTCCGGTCCCCGTGCTCACAGTGTCAGGCGGCATGTGTGCTCCGGTCCCCGTGCTCACAGTGTCAGGCGGCATGTGTGCCCTGTTGTGTTGGTTCCCCTCTGCTGGTATTTTATGGCCAGAGTCACACAGTTAAGTCTTTGGTTTAGCAGATGCTTCAAAGGTTCCCCGTGCTGTACCACCCTCATTCTCTAAATGCTAACAGTGCTGTTCCCATCTCACAGCTATGCAGTGTTCTGTAAGGGCACTACCACATTTGGCTTAGCCACTTATTGGCTGATAAGCATTTGGCATGTGTCTACTTATTGGCCCATCACTAATGCAGTTGTGAACACCCATGTTTTGCAGTGAACATACTTTGATTTCCCTCACACATGCCTAAAAGTATTGCTGTGTTGCATGTTAGTGGAGTGTTGATTTCCTGCGACCTGCTAGACTGTTGCCCCTGGTGGTAACACCACTTTACATTCTGCCGACAGCAAGTGAGGAGGTTAGCTTCTCTGACACTACACTCCTCTCTCTCTCTCTCTCTCTCTCTCTCTCTCTCTCTCTCTCTCTCGTGTGTGTGTGTGTGTGTGTGTGTGTGCGCGCGCGCGCGCGCGCTATGATAGTCATTTGCTGAAAGCAACAAAGAGGTTGAAAAACAACCTTAAGAAATGAATCTCCACTGTATATGTCGAGCAGCACACAGATTCTGCTAGACAGCCTTGGTGTGTGTGTGCCGGCCGGGGTCGCTGGGTAAACTCAGTTAAAGTTTCTGCAGAGCATCTCTAGCTCCTTCCCCACGCGGTGCTTCCTGTGCTGTTCAGTGAGTGCAGGGCAGAGCCCTTCGTGAGGGGCAGCTTAGACAGCAGACAGGTTACAGGCAGGTCCGAAACCATAAGCTACAGAGAGATGGAAGACACGGGGATCGAAGTGGAGAATTCAAACCCGGGCTCTCTAGGCTGAATTACTCCAAGGAGAAGTACCTTGGCATTTCTTCAGTGTGACACTGACAAGTATTTGTGACTCTGAGTTTCTTACTGACGCATTTCCCCAAACAGAGGACAGCTTTTGTGCGTCTGTGCCCTTGTCCTGGGACAGCTCTTGTTTCTGCTGCTGCTGCTGCGTGTATCCAGGCTGGCCGGCCGGCCATGCATCTCTGCCTCTATCCTACAGTAGGAGTGTTGGGATTACAGTTGTGCACCACTGAACCCAGCTTTCTGTGTGGGTTCTAGGGTTTGAACAGTCAGGCTTGTACAGCCAAGTCGCTTTGCAGGCTGTGTGGCACTTTGATTATGTGTGCACTGAGCAACGATCAATCAGCACAGGGTAGGGAGCCACCACCTGTGCTTCACTTGTTCCTGTCTCCTAATTCCTCAAGACACTTTGAGCTGTATGATGTGTTGCTTCTGAATATCCTGACATTTTAGTGTATAAATCATGAGTTTCACTGTAACATCCCGAAGATTTTATCAGCTATAAAACATTTAGAATCATTATATATCCTTTGTGATTATAAAATGACCTTCTGACACCACCCTGGCAATGTTTCTGCTTTGGGGTCCTTATGTGAGATTAACAGAAGACACTGCCTTCTTTGGACTGGTGCTGCTGGGATGTATCTTCTCCCATCCTTTTACCTTTGACCTATTTGTGTCTTCATAATCAAAGTCAGTTTCTTGTGGACAACATATACAGTGATCAGGCTTTGATTTTTTTTTTTTCCCTAAATTCAATTTGACAGTCTGGTGTTTCACTGGTGGGTTTAAACCAGAGGTTAACAGTCTATGGCCCTCGGGCAAACCCAGCTGTTCTTTGCCTTTGTAAATAAGGTTTTACTGGCACAGAGCCAAGCCCAGTGCTTTATTGCCATGGTTGCTGTCATGATACAGGGGCTGAGTGTGCTGACCCACGATTTAGACTCCTTACGTTTAGTGGTGTCATTGGTGGCTGGATTTAGCGTGACTCTTGACTTGGCATCTGTCACATCTCCTGGTCTTTTAGCTGCTGCAGCTGGGATGAACCAGGTGTCTCTCAGCCACGTGTTCTCGTTTGTCAGCTGGTGTCCCTCACAGCTGTGCTCCTTCTGTCATAGCTCTGAGCACTCACAGAATCACCACAGAAACAACCCTGGCAGTGCCTGGTTCTTACTCTAACTTCGTTTGCCAGAACGTTAGCTTCTGACCTCAGAATCATAGAGCACATGTGCTTTATTGCCCTTGACTCTTTACAGAAAATAAATATGGGCTAGAGACTATTTGCCTGTGTGGGAGCAGACGAAATAGATTTCCTGCTCGTGATTTAGATTGGAAGAAGGATTAAAATGTGTTTTAGGAAACATCAACCTGTAAGATATGTTCATTAATTCATGTGGAATATTTCTTATTAAAAGCCTTTAAATTACATTTATTTGTGTGTGTGTTAGGGCACGTGTGACGTGTGGTGGCCAGAGGACAACTTACAGGCGTCAGCCCTCGCCTCCCACCATGTGAATCCCAGGGGTCAAGTTTAAGTGGTCAGGCTTGGTGGCATGAGACTTGGTTCCCTGGACCATCGGGGCTGTGTGTCACTCTTTGAGACAGTGATAAAAGGTCTTCTGACATACAGCTCTGTCTCTGCAGGCAACCATCAATATTGTTCTTGATCGAGTTGGGAAGACTGACCCTGTCACCAGAGGCATTGAGATCACCGTGAATTACCTGGGGATCCAATTTGACGTAAGAGCCGTTCTAGACCCTGGTTTGGTTCCTGCTGCTCCATCCAGCTGTAGCTTGACGCTCAGGTTTTAACCCCTGAACTTGGGTCCATTTGTCCTGTGTTGACAGCTTACCTGGCACATTTGTAAACGGTCCAATTTAGCTTTCTTACTGTAAAGCCATAACAGTGACCTGGATGCTACCTGCTGCTCTACAGGGCCTCCTCGGCCTGCCCTCGGCCAGCCACAGCCTGCCCACAGCTACCACTTTGTTTCTCTCCACCACGTATTCAGATCTTTTCTGTGATACTCAGCAAGCTCTCCAAGCTCTCAACTCACCTTTGATCTCCGGGTAAAAAATTAACAGCTAATTAGTGTCCTGAAATAGCGCTGTGGTGGTTTCTACTGTAAGAAACAACCTTGGTCAGTCGAGTCAGGTGGGCCTTGGACTAAAGTCAAATTGTCATTATGCACAAAGTTAGGGATTTTTTTTATCATTTCTCCCTATTTCATAAGACCAGGCATACACTCACCTTATCTCAAGTTCACTGTCTTTATTCACAGTATAATATGTGGTTTCTAGATGACATCATTCAGGCTGACGAACACTTTGACAGTAAGACTGCTGTTGCATTTCGTTGTCCTGTGTGGACTGCTGAGCTTCCCGAGCCTGGACAAGGGGTGTGTGTTGCCCTTGGTCCTCCGTCTCAGCATAGCATGTCCCTGCTCTCAAGGGCAGCTAGATACAATGAGCAAGCGCACTGAGCTGCAGTCCTGAAGAAGCAGCGCCAAGGATGCTTTCATCCTTTTAGAGAGGGTCTCCCTGTGTAGCACAGGTTGGCTGCAGACTCACAGCCCTCACTGGGGCAGAGGAGGATGCTGTGGCTAGTCCTCCCTGACTGAACCTGGGGCCTGACAGAGTCTGCCTGTCCCCGACTCCCAGTGCTGTTGTTAAGACACACACGGCCATCCCCAGCTCTTACATGAGAGTTTGGAATTTCAGCTCAAGTCCTGTTGCTATTACAGCAAGCACCCTGACCCACTGAGCCATTTCCCCAACTACTAAAGAACACATTTTTAACAGTAGGACCCTCTCATCAGCTGTGGGTCTCACAGCAGGACCCTCTCATCGGTTATGGGTCTCACAGTAGGACCCTCTCATCAGCTGTGGGTCTCACAGTAGGACTGTCTCATCAGCTGTGGGTCTCACAGTAGGACTGTCTCATCAGCTGTGGGTCTCACAGTAGGACTATCTCATCAGCTGTGGGTCTCACAGTAGGACTGTCTCATCAGCTGTGGGTCTCACAGTATAGGACCCTCTCATCAGCTGTGGGTCTCACAGTAGGACCCTCTCATCAGCTGTGGGTCTCACAGTAGGACCCTCTCATCAGCTGTGGGTCTCACAGTAGGACTATCTCATCGGCTGTGGGTCTCACAGTAGGACTATCTCATCGGCTGTGGGTCTCACAGTAGGACTATCTCATCGGCTGTGGGTCTCACAGTAGGACTATCTCATCAGCTGTGGGTCTCACAGTAGGACTATCTCATCAGCTGTGGGTCTCACAGTAGGACTATCTCATCAGCTGTGGGTCTCACAGTAGGACTATCTCATCAGCTGTGGGTCTCACAGTAGGACCCTCTCATCAGCTGTGGGTCTCACAGTAGGACCCTCTCATCAGCTTTGAGTGTTTTTTTTTCCTCACTTCTCTGTACTTGCTTTCTTTGACCCTTAAGACTTGATTAAGCCTGCTAATTAAGAGATCAGTACCATCTTCCCATAAGCACCCACCACCTGTAGGTATTTACTTCAGAACAAGCCGAGAGGAACCCAATGGAATTCCTTCTCATGGTCACACAAGTAATCAGAGTTTACAGTGGCTCTCGGCTCTGCCAGGAACTAATGGCCTGCTGCGCTTCCTGTTCTGATGGCAGGTCAAGTTCTGGTCCCAGCATATTTCCTTCATTCTGGTTGGAATAATCATTGTCACATCCATCAGAGGACTGCTGATCACGCTGACCAAGGTATGGTGCATCACAGTGTTCAGATCCTTATTTAGTTACATGACTTCTGAGTTAGTCCTGCACACTAGTCTTGAACAACTTAGAGGACATTCAGAAAAATAAAGAGACTAAAGAGACTATTAAGCTTGTCTGTAAGGTGTGGGTAAGGTAAGGCGTCGTCTACCAGCCACAGGCCACTCCAGTGGTCGTAGAGATCAGGGATCCCTTATAGCTGTCATCACCTACAACCAAACCTGGCACATGGTATTCAGCCAGTACTTAGGAAACACAGCAGACAGACACACAGGGTTAGAATAATTGGAAGTCACGGTGAGGAAGATAAGAACACTCTGCCCTTTTCTGAGCAACATAAGGAAGACCATGTAGTGGTGAAAAGTGGATCCTCTCTGTTAGAAGATCCAAACTCAGAGAGATTGAAAGGAAGGGACTCCCAACATCTAGCACAACCCGAGAAGAGCTCAGGAGCCTTGACAGTGCAGTGCTTGGAGTGGCCCAAAATTGTGGTTTAGTGTGATGTCGAAGGCATTAGAGTTTCTGAAATTTAACAGTGAGAATTACTTTGTTGTTTCACACATAAAACCACCAAACATCTCATGGGGGAACTGGTTTCTCTTGTATTTTAATTCCCTCTCTGTAGCCTTAACCTCTGAACTGGCTGTGTTTGTGTGCTGGGAAACAGAAGCTATTAAAGGCTAATCATGTAGTGTATTGTTCATGGCAGGAACCCACCTGTGCCGCCCTCGCTCACCCCCTCCCTTTCCCCACAGTTCTTCTATGCCATCTCCAGCAGTAAGTCCTCCAATGTCATCGTCCTGCTGTTAGCACAGATAATGGTAAGTGTAATGATCTTCCCTTGTGTCTAGGACTGTAAATGCCAGAAATGTGATTTTGTTGGGGAGGGTCTTTGTTTGAGACAAAGTCTCCGTGTAGTCCTTGCTGTCCTCAAGTCTTCTACATAGTGAAGGGTAGACTTGAACTCCTGATCTTTCTGTTTCTCCTTCCCAACTGCTGGGATTTCAGACATGCACCACCACAGCCAGCTTAGAAATGTGTGGGCTTTGTTTTGTTGGGGGAGGGATATGTATTTGTGCGTGCACCTTAGTCCAGTTGTACCTGGAACTGAAGTTATAGGCAGTTGTAAGGCACCTGATGTGTGTGCTAGGAACCAAACTTGGGTTATTTGCAAACACAGCTCATGCACATGTCACCGCTGAGCCATCTCCAGCCCAGAAGTGTTTAAACTGTTTTAGTTGGGCCTGTACAATGGCTTGTTCAGTGGGTCACCATGGTTGCCTCCAGGCCTGGTGACCTGAGTTCTGTACCCAGACCCATGTGGTAGGAGAACCAACTCCAGCAAGTTGTCCTCTGATCAGATGACACGAGGAAGACGCACACCCATAAACACAAATCATTTAAGAATTTTCACTTATTTATGTATATGGCTGTTTTGCCTACATGTATGTATATGTATGTGTGTGCCTGGTGCCCATAGAGGCCAGAAGAGGGTGTTCAGGCCCCTGGGACTAGAGGCACAGATGGTAAGCCACCATGTGAGTGCTAGGAATCAAACCAAGATCCTCTGAACAAGCAGCCAGTCTTAACCACTGTAGTCTTTCCAAATCCAGTAAATTTTAAAAACAGTATTAAAGTTTGCTCTGTCTTGTCCCTGGAAACACCGAGTAACTTCAATTAATTGGCTCAACTTTGCAGGGCATGTACTTCGTCTCTTCTGTGCTGCTGATCCGAATGAGCATGCCCCCAGAATACCGCACCATAATCACAGAGGTCCTGGGGGAACTCCAATTCAACTTCTATCACCGCTGGTTTGATGTCATCTTCCTCGTCAGTGCCCTCTCCAGCATCCTGTTCCTCTACCTGGCTCACAAGCAGGCACCAGAGAAACATATGGCACCCTGAACTGAGACCCACTGCAAACTGTGAAAAAACGAGACACAGTCCCAGGGCCTTAAGTCCTTGAAGCAGAGGAGCTGCTGGGGCATTTTAGTCTGCCTTGAGCACATGCCTTCCTCCTGAGATCCTGGAGTCCTAAGTGGCTGAGGCACAGGAGGGAGCAACCCCCCCCCCCCCAGCATTCGGCAGGGAGCCTGTGTGGGTCTGAGGCTGTGCAAATGGGGAGGGGGAGGGTCAGGGCCAGAGGAGACCCTGGTGCTCCTCAGGTGCCTTCGTTTGAAAAATTTAGTAAAATCAGAGTTTGTAACACTGTGGCCTTGAGTTTACTTATCAGTCCCAGCTTGGTGTGCTGTGTTATTGTGGTCTAATGTGAATACATCTCTCCCTCCCTGCCCGACTTTACCCAGAAAAATACCCAAAGGTTGTCTGCTCTTTTCTGGAAAAGGGATGGTAAGCAACTGATAGATTTTACCAGAAGATTTAGGTGTGCCATTTTTTATTTCCTTTTAAATCAGGGAAGAGTGGCTGTCCTAGACTAATCAGTGGTGGGGTCTCGGGTCCTTCCCCTCTGTCATGGGATGAGTCACTGGACTGCTGTTAGCTGCAACAAGCCCTGTCCTGTCCTGGAACACAAGCTCTCCGATTATAGAAGAAAGGTGGTGTTGTTTTAATACTCAAATGCAATGTGAGACAATTCTGAGATGTATTGCCTAGAAGTCTCCTTTCATTACTAAGGTCCTACCGCCGGGCGGTGGTGGCGCACGCCTTTAATCCCAGCACTCGGGAGGCAGAGACAGGTGGATCTCTGTGAGTTCAAGGCCAGCCTGGTCTACAGAGCTAGTTCCAGGATAGGCTCCAAAGCCACAGAGAAACCCTGTCTCGAAAAAACCAAAAAAAAAAAAAAAAAAAAATTACTAAGGTCCTAGCATTTATTTTGCCATTTGGGGCTTCTAGAAGCAAATGGAAAAGCATGAAATGTTTCTAGAGAACAAAGGCATTGTTCAAATTCAGATTCTGTTAGCCAGCAGGGAAGTCACAAGCAACTTGAAAAGCACTTTACTAATCTAATGCTTAGGCTCAGCATTGCTACAGAAGCACACTTCTCACAGGATGCCTGCTTGAGCCTTTAATCCGCACTCACACACACAAAAGAATAGCTCCAGTGCTCAGGAAGTTACAGAAGAACATCATCAACAGCAGTGGGAAGTTGCACTTTGGAAGACATCACATAGAAAGAACCTGGCGGCTCCCTCCAGCGAGGTTGAGCAGCCATTCCAACAGCAGACAGTCACGTGGGACAAGTGATTCCAAAGGCCTAACTGGGTCAGCAGAGAGCTCCTTCCTTGGAAAGGTAGTTCCTGGACGTGGAAGAAATCCGGCAGCCAAAACCATCATTCGTTCTCATCACATCTCTGTGTCTTCAGAGTCGGAAGAAGAAAGCGAGGATGTGCTGTAAGTCTGTGTAAGAGAAAACCAAGGGTTTACACCCGAGGGTGCGAGCAGCAGGGGAGCGTGGCCTGCGCTAGACTGCACGCTTAAGTCAGGGAGGAGAGCTGTGCACTTCTAGAAGGCATGGGCTGGCATCCATGCTTGGTTTCCTTTTCAATGCAAACTCTTACTACTCAGCGCAAAGTCATTGTCATATATGTATGTCTATGTATACGTGCAATCGGTTTTCTGTAGGACACTATAGTGCTGTAATTGACAGTACCTATCAGAATAATACAGTGGGAAGGATGAGCGCAGAGGGAGTTTCATCAGAAGCCTGACTACCATAAATCCCCTTTTATAAACTTGGATGTCAGTTCATTTTTAAATCCTAAGTTCATCTATGAAGAAAAAAAAATTGACTAGAAAAAATTCTGACAAAAATAATCGTAAAACCTGCCATTTAATACTGCCCCGAACCACCTCTGTTTTCACCCGCTGTGAGCCAGGCGCTGTCCGAACACTTCATTCTGAAAACGGCTGTACACATAGCCCTGTTTTATAAAGCTAAAGCACAGGGCCAGGAAATCCCAGTGTGTGGCAGAACCAGAGCTGGTTCTACAGAATCGAATCCCGTTCTTTTGGTGGGCTCTATCATGTTCCTGATAAAAGCTTCATCAACGCTTGCCAACCGCATGCTAAGAAAATAACTTCACAAGCCACAATCCCAGCACACGGGAGGCTAAGACAAGGGGACTGCGAGTTCTAGACCAGCCTGCACTCCACACTGAGGCCGCATGTCTAAGAGGACAATAAATGTGTCCTTGTACAACCTCCTCTGCTCACAGAACCCTGACAGGTTGGCTACCCTGTGTTACTTTTGGGGACTGTATCTCAGAGAAGCAGGTCGCCACTCACGCGCTCTTTTGCTGTGTGGGAGTCCGGCTGGGACTCCACTGTTGCTGTCGCTGCCGCTGCCACCGCCGCCGCTGCCGCTGCTGCCGCAGCTGTTTCTCCTTCGCCACCAGGGCTAGCGACCAGGGGGTCAGCCATGGAGGAAACGATGGGAATTTTCTTAGCTCGGAAGTAGTCGTAGGCCTTCTTCCCACAGACCAAGAGGGTGACGTGCTCGCCGCTGCCCTTGATTCTGTCCACCACGCTCTCGTAGGGCTCGTCTTGCACATTCTCCCCGTTCACTTCAATGATGATGTCCTCATCCTCCAGCCCAGCCTTGTCAGCTGGGCCACCCTTCTGCACCTGGGAGCAGAAGTTCCGAGTGTCAGTTCCAAACATGGATGAGGATGTCACCTCTTTCTCCTTCAGGGGCTATACCCCCTCTACTCCACACTGGAGTATATACTGAATATCTTTGGACTGAAGGCATTGGGCCCCTGTTATAAATCTGCTGGTCTGGCCTGTCACCTGGATAGCTTGTCCCTTTAAGTAAAGACAAACTCTACCCATCCCCTTTCTCCCCCTTCCCCTGCCAGGCAAGCTGATCTGTGCCTCTCTCCTTTTGAAGAGGCAACCTCTGCCTCCTCCTTTTCTTTCCTGTGTCTCTCTATCTCTCTTCCCTCCATAATCCCCTTACTGTTACACCCCTCCCAACAGCCTCTAAATAAACTCTCTTTGCAGGGCGCATGGCACCCGCTGCAGTCTCCCACCCGCCAGGAGACCTGTCAGGGTCGCGCCACCATGAATCCTAACAGCCCTCCCTAACTTGAGAGCTGCAGTGGTCTCACTGCCACCCCTGCAGGGTACAGGCACCCTGACACCTGCACAGAAGCAGACAGGTAGCACTCCCCGAGGTGTCAACTTATGGCTGGCCCTGAAAGTGCTGATCCTAACTGGCCGTGTCTGCCGGCTGCCAGGACCAGTTACCGTACCTCTTTGGCAAAGGAGCCTGGCTGACCCTGAATGGTGTTCAGGTGGAAGCCATAGCTGTCGTCCACTTTGATCAACCTACAGAGCTTGGGTTTGTAATCTCCCGCATCCTCTGTGGTGTCTGAGCTTGCAGCCTTCAGAGGAGCAGGGACTGGAGCTGGAGCTTCCTTGACAGAACCATTAGGCACTTCTTGGCTTTGGCAGTAGAGCAGTGGAGAAAAACGAGCCTTGTGAAAAGAAAAGGGAAGAAGATATAGGAGTGGTTACACTTCATTACATGAGATGGCTTAATACACAGGATGTCCTGCATGTCTGCTCTTCAACTGTAGATTCTAAAAGTTTCTCCACCACAATCAGAAAAGTAGAAACATGTATAGACACATACAGGTGCATGAGATACAAACAGTATAGGGTTCTGTACCAAACCGCAAGCTTATCTAACAGAATTACTAGCTTAACTCCACCAAAGCAGGCCAATCATGAAACACCACCTACACTCACGTGGGGACACCCATGAGGCTGTTCCAAGTGGGCCCTCCCTTGCCTTTCAGTGAAACTGTCTTTAAGCACACTGTAAGTTCTACACCTAAAAGGTAGCGGGCAGTGGTGGCTCACGCCTTTAATCCCAGCACTTGGGAGGCAGAGACTGGTGGGTCTCTGAGTTCGAGGCCTGCCTGGTCTACAGAGCTAGTTCTAGGTCAGCCAGGGCTACACAGAGAAACCCTGTCTCGAAAAACCAAAAGACAAAACATTTTTGTGGCTAACAAAGCCATCGGAAAAGACCAGCTCCACTAGTAATGGAGAGGCGACCACGTATGGTAACAAAGGTGGATTCCTTCCTCAGCTGCGTGCCAGCTCCACACACTAGTAATGGAGAGGCGACCACGTATGGTAGCAAAGGTGGATTCCTTCCTCAGCTGCGTGCCAGCTCCAGTGCTGGCTTCGGTTATGCTCAACTTACTTTGCTATTTATTTATCGTAATTATCTTAGCACTTCTCTCCCGCCAAGCTTCCTCTGTCTCTAAATACTTCAGGTCCCTCCCACTGTCACAGCCACTACGTGATGGCCTTGAATGCAGAGAGAGCATGAAGGGAACTGGAGGCTTGAGGAGGCGCAGCCCTGACTCCTGTGTTCCAGTTTGCTCTGGTACTTTCCTGCTTCCCTTGCGTAGGTATCCTCAGGAACACTTGCTAACTTGAGACAGGTCTCGTTGGCCTGCTGCTCACCCAGTAGTTTAGCCTGGCCTGCCGAGCATCCCCAGGGGTCATCTTTGCCTCCCCAGCACTGCCGCCAAGCTCAGCATTTCAGCACAAGTCCTGAGGATCAAACTCAAGCCCTCGCCCTTTTGGGGCAAGCACTTTATCAATTGAGCTAAATCCCCATCCTGATTTTTTTTAATTTGTATTTTAATAGAGTTAAGTTAGCTGGCTGAGGATTTCGCCTGATTTAGGGGCTCGATTTGGGTGTGCTATGGACCTGCTCAGCAGTTAAATTGAGTTCAGCAGGTGTCCAGGTCAATAGTCAATGGGGTGGAATGCTGTCCACCTCACCACTGTAGGAGCTTAGCAAGAATGCAATGTAGGATTCATCTGCCTTCCTGCCCTCATCACCTTAGAAGCCAGGTACCCGGCAGCTCAGCCCCATGCCATCCTCAGTGATGTTGACAGACGTCTGCCTTGGAGGCTGGAAATCGGGAAATCCGGTGACTCATTACCCCTGAGCTCTTGCAGCAGGCAGAGCAGCGCCTGCCTGGGGAATAACTGCTGGTGTCAGCATGAAAGCAGCAGCAGGAAGGCTTTACCCATCCTTTTAAGGACTCCTGAGGCCCGCCAGCAACTGTTAGAAATCTCACTCATTCACTACTGTGTCTCAGAGAGCCACTCCACCCCACACCAGTCCACAAAGCCCACCTTGGAGAGCGGGCAGACTAAAACCCAGAAAGTTACATCATTCTATTATAGTTTTTCTCCCCTCGGGAATTACAAGAAAATCCTCAATGCCACAACTTACAAACATCAAAACCGTGGCTTGCAGAAGTTAAGTTTGTTCCCATTTCTAACAACTATGGTTGTTCTTAAGAAATAGCTTCCCTGGAGCTTACATCATGGAAATAGCCTTTCAAATTCTTTTCTTTATTAAAAAAGAAAACAAAGAAAAAAAGAGGAACAAACGTATTGGGGCTGGGTGGTAATGCGTGTTTACTGCCTGCGATCTTCCTCTCCTCGAAGCCTGTCCTGCTTCAAGGTAACCCCAGTGTCCTCCTATCTCCCCCGTCATCACCGTTTTGGTGGCAGAACTGTCAGAACAGGTTCTCAGAACTAGACGCTATGAATTCAGGACCATACATGTGAGACATCCACACGGGCTAAGGAGCAGCTAGTCAGTCCTTTCCCTGCCCTTCATGGTCCCTTACAAACCGAGAAAGCTGGAGCTCAGGACAGCTCCCCCCCCCATCATCCCACGGCTAGTGTTTCCATGACTGGTCTGACTACCTCTAGAAGCCAATTAATGCAACCTTAAATTGTTTGTGGGGGGCGGCTTTCTGGAGTACCAAATATGTTCTCAACATTTCCTATTCAATTTCCTTTCAAGTTAGAGTAGTACTTTAAAACCACCTCTGTTCTGTCTTCATTTTTATTCTTCTAATCTGAATAGGAGGGTGTGTGCTCCTGGGTGTGCAGGACACAACCTTGGGTGTCCTTCCACCTTGCCTCTTCTGTGACAGGCTCTCTCAGTGGCCCGGCACTCCCCCATTAGGCTAGGCTGGCCGCCCCCTGGGCTCCAGGAATCCCCCTGTCCCCACCTCTCCAGCACTAGGATTACAGCACACACTACCACACCCGGCTTTGTCACAGAGGCTTGGAGAGCAAACTCAGATTCTCAAACAAGGTGAGGACTTTGGACTGAGCTATCGCCCCAGCCCCAGGCTGGATATTCTGAATGTCAATCCCATCCTCCTGTCAATCATCCAGCATCCTTTAACTCCTCTGGGAATACATTAAACATGTCTGCATCCCAATGTAATCAAGCAGGATGTATGTGTGCCACTTCCGTTCAGGCTGGCATTCTCCCAATACCAGAGCTTCTCTCGGTGTGATTATTCAGCGAGCTAACATACCCATTCTTTTTTCTGCCGTCCAGTTCATTCTTTAATCTTGTTTACAAAAGTATCTTGGAAGACGTAATCAAGACTTAAGAGAACATATATGGTCTGGTGACTCGACTCTGAGAACTTGAGTTCAGACACTGGTGAGTCTCTGCTAAACTGGGTGTCTACGTCATTTAGTGTCTAAGTTTAGTTTCCAAGCACTAAAAAAGGCTAGTAGCTCCACCCAAACTCTTCCTCCCTGTGCCATGGCCCTGAGGAACTTCTGTTACTGTGTCACACACAGAAGACGACTCTTTATCCCTGAGACCAACATTAACATTGGGGTAGAGATACTCGGTGGTCGAGAGCACGTGCCACTCCTACAAAGGACCCAAGCTTGGCTCCCAGCACCCACATCCGACGGCTTACAGTCGCCTGTAACTCCACCTCCGGGGGACCCAACACCGTCTTCCAGACTCTGTGGGCATCTGCTCTTATGCACGCATGCCCACACAGCCACACATCTGCACATAATTTAAGTTATGAGAAAACAAATCTTTTTTAAATCCTCACCACCCACAAACAGCTATCATAATACAAAGAGGGAGTGGGGCTCTTCATGGGCTTGTTCAAGGTGCACCTGTTTCTGCTGTGTTTACCGAAGACGATGTGGGTGAGAACCCCGGACAGCACCTGAGTCTCCAGTGACCAGAGCATCCAGCACTGTGCAGGGGTTGGGAGGCTACAGGTTCAGAGCCTGATTTCTCTAGGGTGACCTCTAGCACTCTGATAAGCAAGGTGGAGTGTATAAATAAAACCTGTCCTTCGTCAACCAAAGGGCTACCTGCTGTCACATGGTGTCTGGGGCCTCCGCCTTGCTGTAACCTGCCTCTGTTTCCACAAATGTAATTTTAGGCCTTGATTTATTATACCTTTCTTTGTTCTGTTACTGTAAAAACTTCATTAAATTGTTTCCATGTTGGAGCGTGGTGGGACTTGGGGTAACCTAAATCTGTGTTCTCGGACCATGGCCACTCCAATTTAACTCCAAAATAAATTCCTATTCCTTCTGAGGTGAGAGCTGTGGTTTTGCATCGTCAACTACAACAAACCTAATAAACTTTCTAGATCTTTACTCAAGACCGAGGAAGCTTGCTGACCAGCAATATCACATCCACATAGCAGGGCTTGAGAAACGGCTCAGCAGTTAGGAGCACTCATCTCTTCCAGAGGACCCAAGTTCGGTTCCCAGTGCTTGCAACCCCCTGTAACTCCAGCTCCAGGAGATCTGACACCCTCTTCTAACCTCGGCACTGGTGTGCACATGTGCCCGCATGCACATGCATATACACACATGCAGACTCACACATAAAAATGAATCTAAAACCAAATAAACATTTATGTCTGTGCCAGCGTGGAGACATCCGGGCCACCTCTGTCCGGTTTTAGATTCCTGTTCTTCATAGCTTATCCCAGATATCAGCAAGAGTGATTGTTCAGCTAATTTATAAGTTCAAAGTTTTTAGTCTAGGAATTTATAACTCATTTAATACGTCGCTACCAATGTGAGCCACTATTTTACCTTAGTGGTTGTTATGCCCCTTCCAGGCTGAAGAACAAAGTAACTCAGCTCAAAGTCGGAGGGCGTGAGTGAAGGGGCCCAGCCTTAACGCATGAATATATGCAAGGATAGATATTCACTATATTGACTACATACATGACTGGACTAACTTACCAGTCTGTAGATGCTGTCTGCCTCTTTGTCCACCACCAACAGTGTAGTCTGCTCTCCGCCCTTCTTAATCATTTCCACCACGCCGTCGTGGTCCAGGGTTTCCACAGACTCTCCATTGACAGCAACCACCAAGTCATTGTTCTTCAAGCCAGCTGCCTCTGCTGGGCTCCCAGACTCCACATCCTTGACGACTTGACCTACCCTCCCCACGGGAAGAAAAGTTACCAGAAAAACCTCCAAACAAACAAGCTCTGGGATTTCTGCTGGATCCCAAGCCTGAAGGGACAGGTATAAAAGGCCTGCTGAATCAAACTCCTCCATCACTCTGCACCGCAGGGGCCCACAGATCTCTCGAGCCTGTTTCTGGACCAAACTGAGCCTCAAACAATGAGATCTTAAAAGACTGAGAACCCAGCGTTTACTAAAAGTACCTGTTGGTTACTTTGGACAAAGTGGCAGGCTAAGAAGCTCCTAGGAAGTCAGCGGGCACACTTACAACCACAATCCAGCACCAGCAGTGAGTCACAGAAGGGAAAGGGGCCAGGACTAGGGAAGTGGAAGCAGGATGGTCCCAAGTTCAAGGTCAGTCTGTACAGGGTGAGACCCTGAGCCAAAGGCAGGGAGGCAGGTGAAGAGCACAAAGCTTCCAGCCTTTGAACCAGGCTGGCATTTAAAGCCCTATTTGGGGGTCATAGACTGTGCCCCAACAAGCAAACATTCAGCCACTAGCCCTCCACAAGCTGACCAAAACAGCCGAATTAATGGCAGAAAGGGGAGACTTATTCGATGTAGCCACCTCGGTAAGGACAAAGGGATCTAGTGACCCCTTCAGGTCTATCTTCAGGGTTCTGAAGTGAGGTTAAGGCCCCACCACCACTGGTCCATCCTGTCCTCTCCTGCAAGGTGGTCTGATAAGTTGTGAATTCCTTCTGGGCCCCCACCCCCACCCCCAAAACTTAAAACTTTCTCTTTTCCCAGCATGAGATTCCTGAGGGAAATCCCTGAGGCCAATTCTGTGCAAACTGCTCAGCCTTCCACTGAAGGTTATGTTGGCAACGTGAGGTCACAAAATATTGGGGTGTTTACACCCCAGGAATCAGCAAATGCTCTGAATTCAGATTTCTTTCAGAGAGCCAAGTTAGTCCCTCCAGTCCATGTAGATCCTAAATCCGGCCTGACTACTCATTACAGAAACCGAGACTCCAGTGTCAGGCCGCCTGGGACAATGGAGCTCTGCCTGCTACTCCCCCCGCAGCTCCCCCGTGGGACTGGAGCTTGATGACCCAACACTGAGAATGAGGGACTCGGGGACTCGTGGTCTGCTGTCCTGTGTCTCACCTTTCTGTTCAGGGCCGGCCCTCAGGTAGAATCCGTAGCCATTGCTTCCCTTCTTGATCACCACCACCCGGGGCTGATGGGGCAGCAGGTTCAAACTGGCCGTTTCCCTCTTGAATTGTGTCTTCTGCTCACTGTGACACTTGGCGGTCTCCTTGTCCACCAGGAGGATCACGACCCGGTTCCCTGCCTTCTTCACCTGCAGCAGTGCACACAGATAAGGGGCAGGGGCTGCCACAGACCACGCTGGCAGGAAGGCTGCCTTGCAGCGCAGAAAGCTCGGGGTACACGGCCTGAGCACGGATGTTTGAGTTGCTCTCCCAGCCTGACTGGTATTTATCCATCTACTGGGAGGGAAACCATCCAGCCGCACAGATGTTAACTGAACTCAAGCAGGAGCCCAAATTCTCAGAGCCCAGAAAGATGTGTGGGTGAGAAGGGCGGGATGGCATTTTAGAAAAGAAATAAGGGTCAGCTCTGTCAGGTCATCCTACTGAGAGGGTGATCAGTTTTCTTTTTCTTTCTTTTTTTTTTTTCCTCTCTTTTTGAAACAGGATTTCTTTGTAGATTTGGAGCCTGTCCTGGAACTAGCTCTTATAAACCAGGCTGATCTCTAACTCACAGAGATCTGCCTGCCTCTGCCTCCCAAGTGCTGGGATTAAAGGCATGAGCCACCACCGCCCGGCAAGGTTGGTCGGTTTTCAAGATTCCATCTTGACCTCGACAGGAGAGCCCTGCTCTGGTGCCAGCATGCTGTGGACCTTCCAATACCTGGCAGGTACAGTTTGATACCCATGACTGCCCACAGGATGGAAATACTAAGTGGAGACTTCAGAAATCACTAAAAAGCTTTAGTGCAGTTATTCTGTTTCGAGTAGTGATGAAATCTGTCCCTTGCCACCTACACCACCACCCAGAAGGTACCTAGAAGATCCATCTTTGTGCAGTACCCTCGTCAGTCACTGAATGACACAACCATCCACAGAGGGCAAACAGTACTAGGCCTCATCTGTGCCATTTCTGCCTCTGCACATATATCCACAATAGTTGAACTTACAAGTTGAACACAGTGACTAACAATAAATAATAAGTCCATTATAACACTGTATTGTTAATAGTTATTTGAACTTATGAACTATCTATTTCTGGAAATTTCTATTACTTTCACATGGGGTTGCTACAAGCAAATGTAAAAATAGAAACAAGTGGGGTGGGGGGACAGAGCCCTGTTAGCACCGTCCGCCCCACCAGGGACTCTGTGAAAGGAAGTGGGGGGACAGAGCCTGTTAGCACCGGAGGTGAGAAGCGTGCCCTTTAGATTACCTTCGCCACCACTTCCTCGTGGCTGGCGTTCTCTACGTTTTCTCCATTTACTTCAATCAAGTGGTCGTTGGCCAGGACACCCGCCTTCATGGCCACTCCTTGGGGTGTTATGTCAGTGAGGTACACACCCTTTTTACCTGAAGAAGAGTTGGAGAGAGATTCAGTTGCCTGGCGATGAAGAGCTCCCCCTGGATACCTTCAGAGCAGCCTCACATCACCATCTGGACTCTCAACTCAGTTACAGATCCCAGCACAAGGCTGGGCACTGCTGTTACCCAGCATGGGTCTATTGGTGTGAAGAGCAATCCTCAGCCTGACTTAAGGAAAGGCGGGACTCCCAGTGACAAGCCGGTGAGATGACGCAGAGGGTGATGGTAGCTGATGCCAAGTCTGACGACCTGGGTTCAATTCCCAGGTCCACAAAGTGGAAGACCAGAACTCCCGCAAGTTGTCCCTTGATCCCCACCCCATTTAGCATGGCATATGTGCACGCAGACACACACACACACACACACCAATGGAAATTTTAAAAATAAATGTCTGGCATTGACATTTTGAACCAGAAACTACTGCTCCATACGCTTATCTTGGCATCTGTAGGATTAGATCCACTCCGCTCCTCCCCCTTTCGATGGAACCATCACACGCTGCTGGAGTCCATAAACCTCCCCTGCAGCTGGGTCGAAGGAAGGAGGATGAGGGAAAGGATCACATTGTGGCTTAGGTGCCAACCCAAAGAAGTGCTAGTAACTCTTTCTAGACGCCAGCATTTCGGTCTGTTCCAAGGGCAGTTTTTTTGTTTGTTTGTTTGTTTGTTTTTTGGTTGAGGAGGAAGGTTTTTTATTGTAGATATGAGGGAAAGTACAGCCAGAGGCATCTGGAAGAGTCCAGAACAGAAAGAGAAAGTATTAGACTAAACAAGGCCAATAGACTGAACCTGACCATGAGAGGAGAGAGAGGGGGGAGGAGAACGAGAGAGAAAGAGAGGAAGACAAGAGACCATGTGGTTGAGCCAGCAGTAATATGGGAACGAGAAGCTGGGGAAGAGCCCCGGAGGTGGAGAAGTTTTTTTTTTGGGGGGGGGAGTTAATATATATTCTTTTTTAATTTTTTTTTATTTTTTTAATTTATTTATTTATTAAGGATTTCTGCCTCCTCCCCGCAACCGCTTCCCATTTCCCTCCCCCTCCCCCGATCAAGTCCCCCTCCCTCATCTGCTTGAAGAGCAATCAGGGTTCCCTGACCTGTGGGAAGCCCAAGGACCGCCCACCTCTATCCAGGTCTCCTAAGGTGAGCATCCAAACTGCCTAGGCTCCCCCAAAGCCAGTACGTGCAGTAGGATCAAAAACCAACTGCGATTGTTCTTGAGTTCTCAGTAGTTCTCATTGTCCGCTATGTTAAGCTAGTCCGGATTTAACCCATGCTTTTTCAGACCCAGGCCAGCTGGCCTTGGTGAGTTTCCGATAGAACATCCCCATTGTCTTAGTGTGTGGGTGCACCCCTCGTGGTCCTGAGTTCCTTGCTCGTGCTCCGTCTCCTTCTGCTCCTGATTTGGACCTTGAGATTTCTGTCCGGTGCTCCCATGTGGGTCTCTGTCTCTGTCTCCTTTCATCGCCTGATGAAGGTTAATATTCCTGAGGATGCCTATGTGTTTGTCTTTGGATTCACCTTCTTATTTAGCTTCTCTAGGAACATGAATTTTAAGCTCAATGTCCTTTATTTATGGCTAGAAACCAAATATGAGTGAGTACATCCCATGTTCCTCTTTTTGGGTCTGGCTTACCTCACTCAGGATAGTGTTTTCTATTTCCATCCATTTGTATGCAAAATTCAAGAAGTCCTTGTTTTTTACTGCTGAGTAATACTCTAATATGTATATATTCCATACTTTCTTCATCCATTCTTCCGTTGAAGAGCATCTAGGTTGTTTCCAGGTTCTGGCTATTACAAACAATGCTGCCATGAACATAGTTGAGCATATACTTTTGTTGTATGATAGGGCCTTCCAAGGGCAGTTTTATGCGGTCACATGCGTTACTTGTAAGGAGTAGGAGGACCATCAGTTCAGCTTCCTCGAACACTTTAACAGTTCTCATATTGCCCATTAGAACCCACAGATGGCACCTCCCTGCGGCTCTCTCTGGAACAGAGTTAGAAGCACCTGTGATGGGGCTCGCCAGCTCTAGCCTTGTGGTACCTGGGTGCTCCATGCTCCTGGTCACGCGTGGCTGTGCTGAACTAAATTCCATGATAGGAAACTCCTCACCACCCCTAAAAGGTAACAAAAAGCCAGACCTTTCCTTGTTCTGGGCTCAGAGATAGCTCTAAAAGTGACTTCTGAAGAGGCTGCTCTAACCCCACCCCCAACATCCTTCTCATGTTCATTCACTCATTCATTTTCTCATCCCATTCATTCATTCACTCATTTTCTCATCTCGTTCATTCACTCATTTTCTCATCTCGTTCATTCATTCATTCATTTTTCTCATCTCGTTCATTCACTCATCCATTCATTTTCTCTCTCTTCAGGCTTCAAGGGGAAGCCTGCCCTTCCCTTTAAGACCCCACCATGTTTGACTCTCCATATACTGGTGTTCCCCCGCCCCAGCCCCCATCACGGCCTCAAGGCCCTCTTTCACTCTAGTAAACCTGAGTCCTGAGGCAATTATGTCAGCTTCCTCTCCAAACCAATTGCTGTTTGGTTTCTTTTACAGCCACCATTATCTTAGTTTGTCGTGAAGAAAAGTTCTCTCCACACAGCTGACAAACTGCCTTGCTGCAGGAGTCAGCACAAGTGCCAACTGAGTAGACTGAATTTTGACTTTTTATCTGTGTCTGTGGATGTGTCTGCACACACACACACACACACACACACACACACACACCATACCATGCTTGTGGAGGTCAGAGTTGGTCTTCTCCTCCACCAAGGGGGGCTCTGGGGATTAAGCCCAGATCATCAGGCTGGGCAGCCAGCACCTTTACCTACTGAGCCAGCTCACCAGTCCCCTGCTTTTGTTTAACACTATTTTACCACTAATATATTTCTAAGAAATATCAAGGTTCTCTGGCCCTCAACACCACTGGGTTTAATGGTCCAAATGTGAGGACTGTCTCTCATGGTTTTAATTTCTGTCTCTTGCTAGAGGTCATGTAACCTCTGAAAACCATTTTAAACTGTCAAATGGTCTTCTCTATCTTCCACCAAACACGACCGGTCATCAGTCCTCTCCAGTCCCAGAGAGAATGTGGGCAGGGGCAACACTAGCTTTAACTAATGATCAAACACTCCTCATGGCTCTTTCTTGTAATAAACCTAATTTCTGAAAGGCAGTTATATGTCAAGATCTTTTCTGGACCTACCAACCTCTTCTGTTCAACAATTAAAGATGAAGCCAGCCAGCTAGCATGACTCCTGATTCTGGCCAGTTTTGCAGGGGTAAACAAACACTAAAGAACTCCAGGCGACAATACAGCATGATACAGTCCTCTGAAACCACAGAAACAGGACCTCTAGGACTTCCCGAGGACCAGGGATTCTCAAGTATGTCCTTTGCAGCATAGGTCAGGGACACAGCTTGGGACAATTGAGACTGGGCTTCGACTGAGAGAGCTCTAATGTCACAGGAGGACAGGGTTTCCACAGCAGCTCTAGCAGCTCTGGGGTTGTAACATGGCAACAGATGCTCAAATATTTGTTAACTAAGTGAATGACCACTTGGCTTCTCTGGGCCATGAAAAGAGGTATCGGTCTCACTCAAAGGTAACTGAAAAACCTCATCCCCTCCATCTTCACCCTAAGGAAGCTAGAAAAGAACAATGAAGCCAGGTGATAGCAGTGCACACCTCTAATTCCTGTGCTCAGGAAGCAGGGGCAGGCAGATCTCTGTGAGTTCGAGGCCAGCCTGGTCTACAGCATGAGTTCCAGGACAGTCAAGGCTGTTACATAGAGAATTCCTGTCTTGAAAACCAAGGGAATGTGAAGCAAAACAATGAAGAGGCACCAAGCCCTAGAACCCCGGCCTCAGGGCCAGCCTGGCAAACACTAGGAAGAGAGTGCCCAGCTCCCCTCTCAGGTCTCGCAGCTGTCCAAAGTCCAGAGCTCTCTCTGCACAGCTGCAGAGAAAAGAATTCATGCTGGAGACGAAGGAAGAGAATGGCATTGCTGTGGGCATTCATAGCCACTGCAGAGAGACTGTGAGTAACAGCATCATCTTCCGGGAGGCTATTGCTCAGCCCACCCCAAGCTTACCTTGGATGGTTTTCAGAGAGAAGCCAAAGCTGTTGCCCTCCTTCACCAGGTAGCAGAGCCGTGGCTGGGCGCACGTCTCCACTGCCCCATTCATCACAGGGCCTGGTTTCTTATCGTTCAAAGCTGGCTCCTTCTGGCTTTGGCCTAATTCTTTCAAGTCCACCTGTGTTTTTACAGCCTTCTCATAGGAGTCTCCATCCAGGACGAGCAGAGTCACGGAATTCCCACTCTTTCTCACCAGATCCACCACCTTCGAAGAAAGGGGAAGTGGTCAAAGGATACCATGTCCTGATCACCACCCCTCCTGTACCCATCACCTGCAGGAGGAGGATGTGCATCACGTGTCCCTAAAGGTCTGGCAGCTGACCTGATACCCATACCCTAAGCAGAGGAGTACCAGACTCACCCCTACACTCCCAATATATATGTATGTATGTATACGTATATATATATACACACACACACACACACAGCGGAGGATTAGACCAAACCCTGGCACCGTGGGAATCTAGGAAGTCCTTACAAGGACTGGTCTTTCCCAGAGATGAATGAATGCTTTAGAGCAGTGGTTCTCAACCTGTGGGTTGCGACCCCCTTGAGGGATTGACCAACACTTCCACAGAGGCCATGTATTAGATATTTACAATTCCTAACAGTAGCAAAACTGCAGTTATGAAGCAGCAACCAATATAATATGGTTGGGGGCAGCACAACATGAGGAACTGTGTTAAAAGGTCTCAGCATTAGGGAGGTCAAAAGAGCACAGCGGGGCTTCTCGGGTCTAGGGGTGGCGTAGTGCAGCAAAAGGGGAATGATGGCGAAGTGGGGCGAGGACCCCCTCCCCCATATAGTCACTGCACAAACGTGAAGAAGCTATGTCACCTGCATGTGGCTGCCTCGTCTATGCAATCACACGCGCCTCACAGGCTTGTGCTGAGGGCTGTAGCTTATTCAGAGAAAATGTCTAGCATGCAGCAAACAGGCAATGCATATTTGGCCTGACACTATTACATAATAAGTTTTTAATTGATTGATCAGTTTTAGAGTAGGGACATGCCATGGCACAGGAAATCAGTTCTCTCCTTCCACCACGCAGGTCCCAGGGACTGAACCCCTTGGGTCATCAGGCTGGCCACATAATACTCTCTACAGATCTCAGTTCATCATAAGCAATTAGACTGCCCGCCATGAACCAGGGGCATCCAGAGGAGAACCAAGCTCCACTGATCCCCAAACTCAGAGTGCACAGAGATGTGGAGCCGAAGAGGTGCCCGAACCCCAAGTATCCATTCACCTGTGCGTGCTCTTCCTTGTCAACAAAGACACCGTTGATCCTGAGAACTCTGTCCCCATCCAGGAGCCCTGCCTTCTCTGCTGGGCTCCCCTTCTCAATCACCCGGACCAGGTGGCCATCGGTGTCCTTCTCAATGCGCAGGAAGAAGCCATAGTTCTGCCCTTCTTGTTTGGACAATTTACACTCTCTAGGGTTGAAGGCGGAGGCCATTTCTGTGATGAAAAGCAAATGAGTAAATCCACAGACAAGGAAATCCAATTGGAGCGTGAAACCTGTGTCTCTGCTTGTCCGGTTCTGTTCTGTTGTGTGCAGTGTACCAACACAGGGGCTCCAGGGAAACTTTGCACAGACCATGCTCACAATTTCCAAACACATTCCCCGAGAATGGCCTTTTCACCTGCGTTTCGGACCCATGTGTTCAGCTGAGCACTTACCACAGGTACTTTAGCTTTAGTAGCTCCAACCACACTCACCTTTGTCCTCTGACCCAAAGAGGTTCAGTCTGAAAACATGTGATCCAGGAGGTTTAGGAAGCCAAGTCTACATTATTTTAATTAGCAGACAGAATAATAGACTTCCTTGGGGCATGTGCTGGGGTTGGTGGTGGTGGTTGTAGTGGTGGTTGTAGAGTGTGTGTGTGTGTGTGTGTGTGTGTGTGTGTGTGTGCGCGCGCACACGCGCATATACACACATGTGTAGAAATCAGAAGTGTTGTCAGCTGTCTTTCTCAATCCCTCCCCATCTTATTGATTGAGACAGAGTCTCTCAATGGACCCAGACCGCACAGCTCTGACTGTAGTAGCTGGAGAGCAGGTCCAGCCGTCTTCCGTCTCTTTGGCGTGAGGACTGCAGACACACACCACAGACTTTCACAGGGTTTGTGGGGCTCCAAACTCCTGTCCCGGAGTTCACACAGCAAGCGCTTTAATGAACAGGTCTGTCTTCCCAGCCCCCAGAAGTTTCCTTAAGACATTCTCCCACCTGTACTCTGTCCACAGCTACCTCCGAGAACCTCACTTTGCTCACGGTATCTGGTGAGTCTGTCAGCTTCTAGCTCGTGAATAAGACGAACTACATGCTGCCTTTCAAATCTGGGGAAATAGCTTTTTCATAATTATATTTTTAAAACAAAATGTTCTGTGGGGTGTCCTTCTGAATATGTGTTGATTTTATTGGTTGATGAATAAAGCTATTTCAGCCAATGGCTTAGCAAAGTCAAGCCAGGTGGGAAATCCAAACAGATATCTATATATATAAAGAGAACAGGCAGAATCAAAGAGATGCCACATAGTTGCTGAAGGAGTAACATCATGCCAGTAAGCCACAACCCTGTGGCATGCACAGATTAATAGTAATGAGTTAATTTAATAGTAATTAATAGAGTTTCTGTGTAATTATTCGGGTCTGGGCAGCTGGGAAACAAAAGTGCAGTCTCAATCTACAGAAATGTTGTGTATGTCATGCTGTGTGAGAGCTAAGAGATACAGACGGCACAAGGAAGGGGCTTGGGGAAGAAGGAATGGGCTGGGGAGAAAGAGGACCAGCTCCATGGAGAAATGAATTCCCAAGAAGAGCAGGGAGGGGGAGAGATGGGGAGGGAGAGGGGAAGAGGAGAGAAGCCACGCCTCCGAGCATGCTAATCGTGTTGGTGATGCAATTGAAAAGATGGCGCGCCCCTGGCTGGTGCAAACACAAGTGGGGCACACAACAAGAACATGTGAAAGAGGGTCTTGGGAAGTAGGGGTTCAGCAGCAGAGGACAGGAGGGTAACCAGGAGACTGATCAAAATACAGGACATATACACCTGAAACTGTGCAACAATACATGAGATTGGGAGGAAGGGACGAAAATGGCTGTGGGTGGTCCCGAAGTTTCTAGTCAGAGTAAGGTACCCGAGAAAAGATGCCAATGGCAGACTAAGGGCTCTCCCCACGCCCCGTAAGGCCATTTCTGTCTCCACCCATCCAGCTCCTCATGTTTTGCTGCTACAGGGGAAGAGCCTGGGTCAACCAGAGGAGAAAAGGAACAATGTGTGAACAATGGTTGGGTCCTCACTGCTAAGGGAAGTGGACCAACTGCTAGGGGCTCCAAGGCCTCCTGCTCAGCCCTGTGTTTTCAGAGGAGAGTGGGAGTGGGGGCAGCCCAGCAAAAGGCTGGCATATGAAGCAAAGGGCCGAGGTGGCTGAGGCCAGCTCCTTCCGTTGTCTTCAGGGCACAGCTCCTGCTTGTGAGCACGTCCCTTTGCTCTGGAAGGACAGGAAGAGGTGACTATATAAGACATGGAGGGGCAGAATGACGAACAGACAACAGTACGCTTGCAGGCTCCCTAGAGGCCTTGCTGTGGCCACTCAATATGCCGTTAGGCCTTGGTTCCCACAGAGCAGGGCAGAACGAGCAGACAGGAAGAGCTCCCCTACCTGTGGCTCCATGCCTCAAGCTCTCCCTTCTCTCTCTGCAAAGCTGAGTGTGAAAATTTCTGTGGTCAAAAAAAAACCCCAAGAAATGGCCCCATCAGGCACCTGGAGGAGAGAAGAGTGAAGCCGCGGATACGGGTGGTTGTCCTCACTGCTTGGGAGAGCACTGCAGCTCCTCACATCAAAGGCACAGCCCGGAAAGGGCCCCTCGGGGAGGAAGGAGCCAAGGGCAGCCAGCACCAGCCGGCTCTCCTCACTTGCCCACCTCTAATCTTGTTCTGACTTTGGCTTCTGAGCTGCTTGTCCTGCTCAGCCTGTGCATACCATCTGTTTCCCAGCACATGCAAGCTACTCTCTAGACCTCGTCAGTTTTGAGCTCCACAGGGCTGGAAAACCTTGAAGGCTTCCGTCATCCCTCTTAGTTCCTCCAGGTAAACAGTGGGCAGCCTCATCCACAGGCTTCCGATTCAGAATGTGCCTGTACAGCCAGAATAAAGGGTGCTGGGTTCTGTGCATTCATCAAAAGAAGCGGCTGTGTTTTTGGTCGACAGATGAATGTTTGCTTTTAATGCATCTACCTTAAAACTCAGCTGTCTCACACCCTGGGTTGGCCACCACAGGATCCCTCTTTTCTTCCTCTGTAGGCCAAAGAGAAAATGTGAAATCCATCCCCACTGGGGGATGTTTTCCCATCTCCCTGGAGACCCAAAGGCCCGACAGGCCAGAAAGACGTGAGTTTACTCTTTCTTGGCACAATCTCAAGCTGTGTCTGGTTTGGGCGGCTGTTCAGAGCTTCTAACAGCCAATCTGAGAACAGTGAGACCCGTGGCTGAGGCTTTGAAGAGACTCGGGTGCACCAGGTCACCGTTTTTTCCCACGGCTATGGCTAAAATCAGGGTTAGAGCCAGTTCAGAGCAACAGCAATTCTGAAATGACACATGCCTACAGGGAGAGGTCAGCGCTTCTAGCTCTGTCCACTTCCTGCCATGTCTGCCATTACAGTGACCCAGTCACTAACAGATTAGTGCTGGTCCCTCCACCAGCAGGTGTCCCCCACATAGATTAGTGGATACCATCACCCCAACCAAGCCACCCAAAACTCCAAATTCCTGGTCTTACATGGGACCCCCTGGGCAAAAACCTCTTTCCCTTATAGTATTTAAGAGAGTCAATTCACTTTAGCTCCATTATTCCACCTCCATTCCTCTTTCTATCTAGTCCACATCCTGGTTTTATGTAGCTCCTGCATCAGTCAGGGCCTCAGGTCTGTGTTGCTGCTTCATGGAGATGTCTGGACTCCAAGCTTTGACCTAACCAGGACACTGTGCTTAAGGATCTGTTTCCTGTTTCTTCAAGCCCCAGCTCATCTACTTCTTGATGAGGAAATCTGAGGGCCAGGCCTTGATGGTGGGTGTGTAGGTAATTAGTGAAGACTTAGAGATCTCTAGAATATCCCAAAGCGGCTCTATTCCCAATTATCAAAATACTGGAGATGAAAGGAAGCCATGACTCCTGTCTGAACTGACACAGAAAAGTCAATTCTTGGCAACCAAGTTGCTTGTGTGTGGAAAAATAATAAAGTCTCTGGCCAGGCAGACAGCAAGAACCAAGGCCCTGGCCAGGCAGACAGCAAGAACCAAGGCCCTGGCCAGGCAGACAGCAAGAACCAAGGGCCTGGCCAGGCAGACAGCAAGAACCAGGCCCTGGCCAGGCAGACAGCAAAGGCACAGAGGTGTTTGTCCATCACTCTTTCTGATAACATTACTCTCACCTTCAGACTTCATTTTCTTCCAAACAATTGGATTCTTCCTCTCAAGAGTGAATGATACACCGAGGTCCAGAAGAAAAGCTCAGAGCATTTTGCACGTTAGGAAGGCGAGAAAATGAACACAGATGCGTTAGGAGGCTCTTCTGCCAGGGGTCAGAGTAGAAAGGATTCAAACTACTAGGCTTTTCCCACAGAAAAGCAGACACTGACAGGGCCAGAAGATAGCTCCCAAGCCCAAGGCCCAAACAGCCAGCAGGTCCAGCTTAGATGGCCTCAGTTCGTGTGTCTGAGCCTGGAAGCTGACGGACTGTCCACTGAGGGCTATTTGGAGGAAGGTAAGGAACTGTTATCACTGCTCCTGCTGGGAGTGGGTTTGTGGGAAGGCCTGTCTGTCCTGTCAGACTGCTCCATGCAAAACTCCATCTGAAGCCTCTGTTCCAAGATAATGTTTCATGTGGGTGGAAATGTCCTACTAAGAAATGTCACAGGCTTGAATGTGCATGAGCCAACCCAGACCAAAGTGGGGAAAGAGGTGTTTAAAGCCCTTTAAACATCAGCTGCGTGATCTCCTGAAAGGATTTGAAAATCTTAGCTTCAGTGGAAACCTGACAGGAGCACAGACTGTGCTCCAGACAGAGACAGGAACGTGGGATTCCCCGAAACATTTTAGGCTCAAAAGCACAAGAGCCTCTCTGTGAGTTCGAGGCCAGCCTGGTAAACAGAACTAGTTCCAGGGTTGCTGTTACACAGAGAAACCCTGTCTTAAAAAACAAACAAAAACAACAAGAGTCAGGTCACATAAGGGTTCAGAGCTGAGTGTTGGCTCTTGCCTTTCAAGCATGAGGACCTGAGTCGGATCTCTGGTGTGGTGGTTTGAATAGGAATGACCCCCAAAGACTCAAGTGTTTGAATGCTTGGTCCATGGGGAGTGACGCTATTGGGTATGGCCTTGTTGGAGTAGGGGTGTTTTGTTAGAGGAAGCATATTACTAGGGGGTAAGCTTTCAGGTCTCAGAAGCTCGAACCCAGAT